CCATTTTGAACATTCGAAATGTTCTCGCTCGGAATTCTTTGTTCAATGCCAAGTACACAAAGAAATGAATACCACTGTTAATCGTTTGCATCCAGTACGCCGGTTTTGACAGACTGTCACTCACCTAGAACACAGCTTTTTTTTTAAATTGACATTTCAAGACTTTCTTCTCGATTTCTGAGTACTCACTTTTTCAACATACAACTGGAATAAGGCAATCGTATTTGGAAGCGATACAAGCAAAGTTGAGAGGACGGAAATGAGTAGATCGTACCGGAGCGGCACTTCATTCCAAAAGTTTTGAAAATTTCAAAAAACACATAAGGGGGGACCCTTATGTGATTTTTTTCGATCAAAAATTTTTTTCGAGTTTTTTGATATTTTTTGATCAAACAGACAAACAATCCAAAAAGCACAAAAAAAATATAGAAAATTGTATTGAGAGCTCAAAATTCGGTTCAAAATGACAAAATTTTTGCTACCGGGCCTTGAAATTTTCCTCAGGCCCGGCCCGGCCCGGGCCCGGGCTTTGGTGGGCCGGCCCGGAATTTTACAAGTATGCCCACAAGTTCAATTCCTTGAAGGGCGTATATCAACGAAATATCGAGAAAGCTTTTTTCCTTTGATAGTAGAATTCTTTGGAACATTGGTTCTACGAACAAACTGAAACATAGAATTAGAATGGCCGCTTTCAAAAAACTCATCACTTTCTCTCCCTTTTCAATTTGTTCATCCATCCGAAGGTCAATCAAATCCTTTTCCTCCTTCTTCCTCTTATTTTCTAACTTAACTTACATCTGCCAAAATGCAATAAGATACTTATACGGCCGCCAAAGAAGGCATAAATAATAAATATGTTTCTGGCGGCTATGGTCAAAAAAAAAGAAAGGAACTGGTTGCGTCACGAAGAAGTGGGAAAGTGATCAAACAGTCTGTTTTTTTGTCATTTGCAGGAACAGTTACATCATTTGCGACAACAAAATATTGGAAGGAATTCTGCAACAGTGACCGAGGAAATGGCAAAAATCCGAAATTCCATTGAAGACATTTCAGAGTTTTCTGTGGATTCTAATGAAGTTGACGAGGCGATCAATGACATAACAGTTCCAAGTAGGAAATATTACAATTCTGAACATTGACAAGTTTTCTATAATTTTCAGCTGACACCAACTTCAAGAAGAGTAGTAAATTCAATGAGCTAGCTCAGATTCACAACACTGATTCTTCAAACAAATCATTTCCGCCTTTTGCATTTTCAGAAGATCAGCAAGAATCAGAAACACATGTTGAAACCGTCGAGGTATACTATTTTTTGTTCCTGATTCTTAACAACTATTGTAGCGGCCACTAAAGTATCCAATTTGATGATTTTAAGTGCAAAATAGTCAACGCAGTTGAAAAGAGGGCTTCCAAGTAACCGATTTACATGAAAATTGGTGGGTATACAAGGCCAATCTAGATCTTCATTTTTGTAGTGGACACCTTTTTTTGAAAATTGAAGCCAAGTCAGATAAATGGCGTTTGGGGGGAGACAGTGCTAGTTTTACCAATTTTTTGGTTGTGTGTATTTGGAGCAGTCTGGCAGGCTTGGTTGCGATTTTCAGAAAGAAGTTGTTAACTGCAAAAACGAAGATCTAGAGTTGCTTAATATACTCACTAATTTTTGTTATAAATAAGTTACTTGGATACTACTTTTTCAATTGCTCGAAGTTGCTCATTTTTCGCTGAAAGTCACCAAAGGGGATATTCTCGTGTCAGCTACTGTATGTTGAAAAAAAGCGTTTTCAGGTTGTTCCTCCAACTACCACAGTCATTCTTACAACTCTGCCCACTACAACTCCGATCTCAACAACCAGAACAACTACACATCCGACAACAACTTTGAAATATGTACACATTGATAGTGACGTTTCGGTACCAAGAAGAACTGAAATTACAATGTCTTCAACTCCGATGATTGCTAGAACTAGTACTGTACCTATTGAAATCACAACAACTACTTTGGCACCTACCACGCAGTTCACAACTAGATACATGTAAAAATATTTCTGGTGTTTATTATACAAAATCAGAAATTTCAGCTCTCCGTCCACTACTCGATACCCTCATATATTCTCTTCTTCAACTGTTCGTCTACCATCTGCAATTCCAATTCCCACATATACCACATTTGCTTCTAGACTTCCACAAATCTTCTCGACAACTCCCAGACCATCCCGAGGTCCATTTACTACTGAATTCACAATTGATCCAATTCAGAAGAGAAGTGAAGGACGTACTTCGCTAAGAGATAGAATCCGATCCACCAGTCAGTTGTTGAACCTTTTGGGTGATAAAATCGAGGGAATCGATCAGAAGGCAGCGTCAAATGGAGCAGAACCAAAGACAGGAGTTCTTACCAATGTCTACGATCGAGGAGAGATCAAACATAGGAATTATCGGATGAAGCAGTGGGGAATCAGTGGTGAAGGAAGGCAAGGAGTTCAGACTTATGATGGGCAGTTCAGTGGAGTCGCATATGGAGCAACGAAACAAAGAGGTGGTGGGTATGGAATGAGAAAAAAGATTGGAAGAAGACCATGGAAAGGATACAAAACGAGAAAACTCGGAGAAAAGAGACCGGACTATATGAGACCATCAACATTTGTGGAGAAGAAAACAACTGTGTTAGATGTGGAACCATATGGAAGCAAGAGGAGAGGAGAATGGATTCGTGGAGTAAAAGTTTCAGAGAGGAGAAATGCTGTAAGAAGAGTAAGTGAGAGTCAGAAGAGCTTTGCGCAAGCACTAATGGAATCGGAAGAAGCTTCAATGAGACAACTAAAAAAGACATTGAGACAGATAAGAGAAGTTGTCAAGATGAAAACTTCTTCTGCAACAGTGGAATCAACGACAACTGCACGCCCAGCCAAAATAAAGGTCTGAAAACAAAATGATATTTCTGAATTAATTTGTAATTTAATTATTTTTCAGAAAAACCGTATCGATTCGGAATTTTTCAACGGAACATTTGATCTTCGACGACGACTATAAGAATCTCATAATGATTTTTTTTTGTTATTTAATTAAATTATTTGTGAATATGAATATAGGTGTTTTCCATGAAATGGTAAGATGATTTCCCCGATGACTTCGATGATTTACTAATAAAGATTTTAATGATTCATATTGGACACAAAACGATTTACTTCATTAAGAGTTCAATACGCCTTTTTCTTTATTCAGACATATGTCTCTTCCATCCGTTCCCCCTCTCTCTTCTTCGTAATAAATTGCTCCTTTTCCCTTCGTCTCCTCTCTTCCTCCTCTTCCTATTTTCCGATTTCCATGGTAACCAAATGAGCATGCGGAAAGAGTCTTTCCGCACACGAAGAATTCCCTTGAAATGTATAAGGAACTAATACGAACATGATTTCCAATGTGGTGAGTCTACAAAGCTTGATAATTTTTTTAGGTTTTTAAAGATAATTTTCTTTCAGTCTTTTTTTGGAAAGCTTGAGAATTAAGTAAAGATTTACATGAAGATATACAAAAGCATATTTTTCAATTGATTTTCGGCTATTTTAACCATTTTCCAAAGTCTGGAGGTTTTCTATTTAGGTCTGTTTTACATCCATCAAAACGTTTCGAAGTGATCGTAAACTTCGAACTCCAGACTCCCGAAAACGGTCAAAATCTACTGAAAAACATGTTTTTAAATGAAAAAAATGATATGAAAAATAACAAGTTTCAATAGTGTACTGATCAGCCAGACTTTCGTCTGTTGATCCCTTTCGCCAAGTAGAAGCTCAGCACATAAAAGGGTGCCCAGGTCTCCGAGGACCATTGTTGGATAACTTCCAAAGTTCCTTTTCCCTTGTAAGAAGCCATACATACGCTTTTTATTGTTTTCTTTTTCATTTTTTCACCTAGCCATGAACCCCAAAACATGGCGACCCTCAAGGCCTTCTAGTACTTTTTTCGCAATTGGCTAATCGAAAGATCAAAAGAAATGAAACGACAAAAATCAGCGTAAGCAAAGAGCTTTTTACCAGGAAAAAGGGCTTGTGAAAATTATCCAACAATAAAAATCCAAAGAGTCAGATTTCACAGAAAACTGTTTTTTTTAATACGTAGAATTTTTTTCCAACGTGGACAGAAGAAGTCGATATGACCTAATATTGATTGAATTATTAATTTATTGCGTTACGTGAATGAACATTTTGAAAAGCTTGAAAATTAAATAAATTTGACGTGACCTTTTGAAAAATAGAAATGGAAAAGTGAGGAGCGGAGCGAAGAACAGTAAAATATATAGGTCAAATCACGCCAAAGGCGCACCAACCAATTTGAATCACCGGGTGTGCGGCAAACAGGCTGGTTCTAAATGATAAAAATAAAAAAAAGATTGAGCTTAAAATATAGAAGAGCAGCAAGCTTTTCACCCATACTCGAGTTTTTCAGCGTTCTTCTCTGGTCTACCAAATCTTGCTGAATCTCCAAAAAACACTTTCCCTTGTTTATTTTCTTGTTGTCATAATACTCTTCTTTTATAAAGGCAAGCTTTCTTTAAATTTTCCAAACTTTATTGATTTTCAGGAACGATTCTTCCATATCCTCGATATGTTCGAGTTATGGAATTTTTCATTATCATTCCGTTTGCACCAATTGAATATTTAAGGATAAATTGGGGTCAGTTTTGGATGAAATTGAGAATTAGAACTCCGTTTTCATTGCAGGGAGTCGAGGGAATCTACTGGAGAGCACAGCATTTCTGACATTGTCAACAATTTTGTCATTTCCAGTTATCATTATTTTGGTTTACTTGGAATTCTTTCAAAATTACGGTAGGTTGTTTTTCTTCTTTTTTCTTAATTCCAAGGTTTTTTTTCAGTTCTATTCATCGAGGAAATTCTGACATATGTCCTTGGATTCTTTGTAATTCTGGAAACCCTATTATCATTGGTTCTCTCTATAACTTTCTCTTCATCAGGGTAAGAATTGCATATAAAAAACAAGAAGTTCCTTGTGCTCATCCTAGATTTGTTTTTCAGACATCCAGCTAGCGGCCAACGAACGTCATAATCATTGGAACTTGAACAAAATCGAATTAGAATTAGCAGAGAAAAAGAAAATACAACTAGAACATAAATAAACATATATTCGTTTTATTTTTTGAAATAAATATTCCGGGTACTCATTTCCTTTTCTCCGTAATAATACAATCCACAACTATTCCTTTTCCATGTCAAAATTTGAAAAAAACTTCCGGATCTCTCAGGTGCAGAGCTTTCCCAAAGTACTTGAATAACTTCACGTCATAGCTAACAAGCTAGCTCGTGACCCTTTCTCCGTTCTGCAATCCGTTTTTCCCAGGGATAGAGAGTTCTGCTGTGATGTTGCCCTGCAAAAATATAAAATAGAGTGCTTGTAGGCTCATACTGCCGTTTAGATATGTTGAGAGAACAAGAGCATTTATTTTTATATTTGTTTGGCACGAATTTTGCGACCACTTGAAAGCCAATTGTCAAAAAGGACCACCACACGACCACAGAGCACACGGATGGCAAAGGATCCGTAAAAGAAAACTCATTGTTTCTAAAGCGAAAAAAACCTTTGAAAAGAAAAGCATTGTTCTAGTTTACTTGAATTCTTAATGATCAATTCTGCGAGTTTCGAAGAATTCTAAATACACCGGAAGAAGGAAGGAATTTCGGTTACCAGGAAGAAAAAGAGCGGCTGGATTGCAAAAAAAAATTAGATCCCATTTTTGAAGTTCTTATTGAAAAAATTACTGTGAAGTTTTGACTGGTTTTTCAGATAAACCATCATGTTGAAATTAACGTAAAACCTGTAATAGAAGGGCCCTCAATTTTTAGCTCTGAGCCAATTTATCTCGGTTCCTGTCAAAGACATCAAAAAGTTGTGGGGCTCTTCTGTTACATGTTTTAGTGAAATCATTTGTCAAACGTTTTTCACAAAGATTTTATGACACGAGACTATAAAAATCAAGTTTTTAATAATTGAAGAATGTTAGAATTGAAAAATAGACTCAAATCAACACTGATATTTTTGTTTAATTAGGAAAAAAGTCATTTTGATAACAGCTTCATTTTTAGTCGTTTTAGACGGTAGGCGGCTTCTTAACTCTAGTTTTCCAATTTTGAAAACGTTCTTCTTCTACGGCCCATTTCCAGCTATTCCTCCACTTCGAAAACATCCATCTTCTTTATTTTTTTGCACCTTGACTCGTCACACCCACGGTTCATTCCGCTACATAAATTATCCATTTGCGTCTCGATTCCAAATACTCGATTACCATATTCCAATAGCTCTTTGCTCTTCTTTGCTCCTTCCCATCTTCTCGATTTTCTCCAATTTCTCAGGTGTATCTGATGACGTCCCCTGATTAGATGTGCAGCTTTTTCTTCATGTTTCACTATTCTTGAATTTGAATGCAGGTGAAAAAAGTTTCATTTTCAGCTACACAGAAATGATTTCATATCTGGAAACGGAGTCATGAGAGAGTCCCGCTTCTCTTGGAAGTTACCACAAAATTACTCTTCCTTCCTTTCTTTTTTGTTTTTCCATCATTGTCAACTTTTTTCGTTCACTTTGTGGCCACACACACACAAACCCAATCATCAGCTGAGACAAGTTTTCGTCAATCAAACTCATCAAAACACCCCGAACTTTTTTTCAGTGATGTTTTGTTCCTTGTTCTTCTCTTACCACTTTTCTACTACTGTGTTTGTAGGATTTCCTCGAAATTCAGAAATAACATATGTGGATGTCTGAATGAATCCCATGGGAGGTCTTCAAAACGGGGACATTCGTTTTCTGGAAGTCTGCTGAAATGTTTTATGAGAACATAGGTCTAGAAATAACTCTAAATATGTAAATGATGAAGTTGGGCGTCCTGAGATGTATTATTCTGGAATATGGAGAGCTGGTTCGCTCCTGCCTTGCATTTTTTGTTCGATACCGTACATAAATCGAATACTCAATTTTTACTGATATTATCATTTTATCAGTTGCCCACTTTTCGGTATCTTTAACAGAGACCGAGAGAAATTGGCTCGAAGTTGAAAGTTAGGGGTGGCATTCTATTGGAGTGTCTTACGGTAACTTCATGCTCTTGGCTAATAATAAGCCTACCTGAAAGGTCAACTTTGAGCGCAATTATTCGTCTGCTGACATATTATTTACCATAATATTAACAATATTTTATCAGTTGACAATGTTTTGATATCTTTCACACTAACCGAGATATATGTATCGGCGCAAAGTTGATTGAGCTTCTATTAGGGGAAATACATTAGTATGTTGTTTTCGACTTTAAAAAAAAGTATAGCTATGTTTTGGGATTTTTTTTACTAATTAAGAGACCTTCCGCTTTGTTGATCGGTGGAGGATCTCGTTTCGCAAACATCGGTCTTGCAGAAGATTTCCAATCAAATCTTTGAAGGTTATTTTCCTAAGGGTTCCGATTGTCCGTCAACAGTCCGTCGATGGCTTTTCAACTAGCAATCATTCGTCAGTTTGCGAATCTCCAGCTGCCATTTAGCAGTTTTTCGGAAGTACCTGTGTCGATAAAACACCGTTTTGAGAGAATACAGAACTTCCAAATTTCTTGAACCAAAGGGACCATTTAAAGCAACCGTCCTCAAGTTTTCCACCATTTTTGGTTCCTTCTCCGATTCCTGCCTTTTTCAAAGTAGTTCCTGGTACCACGCAATTTATGTTTTAAGATTCCAAAGTGTCGACTTTTGAACCAACTCTGCAAAACTAAACTGTGCAGAAATCCCTTTCTCCTGCTCTTTCGGTTTTTTATGACGCAACCAAAGTCTTCAGCCTTTCAAGTACCTGCCAATATCGTGAATTCTGAAACGAAAGAAACAAAGAAACCTTGAGAAGTGCTTCCCACATGCTCTTTTGCAGCCTTTTTTCCTTTTCCCATGTTCCTTTAGAAAATCCTCTCGTGAGATGATGAATACACAAGTTTCTGTATATATTATCGTTACATGTGTTGTGTGTCAGCTGAGAAGAAGAGAATGGCTCTGAATAATCAATTAGTTGTCTTCTGGTTGGTTGTATACTTCGTGTGTATACCTCAGACCGCCCAGTATCCGATTTCTAGGTTTTCGCCAAGACGTTTAATTGGGTGTTAGTTTTTGGAAAATGCACTTTATTGTTCCGATTCCATTAGAATCCTCAAGATTGTTCTGAAAAGAAGAAATCTTGCAGTTCTGGAACGCTTGTCCCTCATACTCCTTACATTCATCTTCATCTGAGTTGTTTTTTCTTGAAATGATGAAAATTTGTGTTCTTCCCCCCATCCGGGTTCTGCGGTTTATTTTTAGTGGCGGATCGAAATTATTATTTGAGATTTTATGAGCCAGAACATTTTGTTTTGCTTTCTTTATTTTTAGTTTTTTCTTGAAATAATTGAGGTTTTTAATGGGGATTATGGTAGTTTTATGATAGATAATTTGAGCTATTTGACTTTTAGGATTTTCGAGAAAGATACGGTAGCAAGTGGTAAGATACTATTAGGATACTGTAACAATGGGGTAATGGTTGGAAAAAAATTACCGTTTCCGTTTTCCGTACAGTTTTTAGAATTTTTTTCAAAAAATTTTACTTCATTCCGCTTTCTGAATTTCAGAAGCGTGTTTCCTCCAATCCCTGATTTGAGGATTGGTACTTTAACAACGGCTTCGGTTCGGAATCTGCGAAAATTTCCATAATTTTTCCAATTAAAGTTTTGAACGGAGTTCTCTGCACATAAACATGGAAAAACATTTGGAACAACATGTGAAGGGACCTCCTTTCAAAGAGAAAAAAAGAGTTAATCATTTCAGATCTTCTCTTTCTCCTTCTATTTTTTCTCTCACTCTTTCCAACCTTCTTGTCACCCAGTGCTCTCCGAACGGCCATTTCAAAACAACGCTTTCTTTTTTCTCTCTCCTTATTCTTCTACTCCCAACGCAGTGGCTTCCGTCTTGCTGAAAGGGACAGCTCTACCCATCCTATTCGCGGGTTTTTTTAAACTCAGCTTAATTTACAATTTTCAATTTCAACGTCTTCTATGACGTCTTCTCATCATTTCTCGACATCAGGACAAACACATTGAATCAGAGCAATTTACATTTCATTTATCCCTGCATTCATTTTCAATCGTCAGCTTCCAGAATTGGCGATATTCATAGATCAGATTACCTGTTTTGTATGCATTCTGATCCTAGGGAAAATTTCAAGTTTTTAGGAACTTGTGGAAATCTTTTTTCAAACTTTGTGAAGTCGATTTCTGATGTCTCATATATTATGTGTATGATCGACTGAAGGTGCCAAATCGTGAGAAACAATGCAAAAGTAGATGTCATCTGGTTAGGGGAAATGAAGGGATAGGAAAAGGAAAAAAATAGGGAAGAAGGACTCGGAACTTGCTCTCGAAAATTCTAGTTCGTTTCTAGTTTTGTCAGTAGTGTTTTTTGATAACTTTTTGTCTCATCCAGGAACTGCTTCCTGGGGAAATTGATAATACAGCGCAAAGGATAAATTTTTGATTGCTTTATCTTGTGCAGAAAATCATGTAGATTCACATAAAAAAATAAATAAAAATTCGAAAAGAAACATTCCTGAAATAAGAAAACCCGTATGGAAAAACGAAGTTGGCCGTAACTAAGCCTATGAACGATCTCGAGTTTTCCGATACCCCGGTCAGTGTGCAAAAACTGTGTGGTAGAGTATTTTTGTCGATTTCTAACTTTCTTTCTTACGGAATGGTTCGTATTTTTGTTCTTGAAAATATTTTTCGCAGAAATTTAAAAAAAATTCTGAAGCAACCCGAATCACAAAAAACTCTGAAAAACTGGAACACAACATTTTCGCGAGCTGGCCGGGGACTAGAAAACCCCCACCCGGCCTCCAGCTACAGGATACCTCTTTTTTGATATAGTTTTCCTCACTGTAGGATTTATTTTATCATTTTTTCTTTATTTTCATGTGAATCAACATGATTTTCTGCACAAAACTATGCAATAAAAATTTCACAGTACACCACCTTTTTGCTTCAGAATTCCTTTTCCAGCTCATTTTGATAGCTATATTTGTAGCGACTGATACTCAAACATTTTTTTTCGAAATTTTGAAACTTCTCCTTCCCCTTTTGTCGAGCACAAATTTTTTCAAATGGACTTAAAATGCAGGGAATCAGATTTAGAAGGGACAAACTCATCTGAAGTGAAGTAATCCTCTGTCTTCACTCTTCTCCTTTTTTTTTCTTCTCCTTTTTCATTTTTCTCGTTGTTGATCAAACGTTCGTTGCTAGTGCACACAACCCGTCAAAGGTTTCTTCTTCGTATTCTTTTTCTTATTCTTCATCTCAAAAAAGAAGAAGAAGAAGAAGAAGCAAAAAGGCTGTTGTTATTGTTTCTATCCTATCCCTGAACTGCTTTGCATCTTTCCAGACTAATAAAACATTGAACCAATCCACGTGTCATCTTCTGGAGTCATTCTCTTTAAAAATTTGTTTTTTCTTCGAAGATCTCTTCTTCTATTATTTCGGGGTATCCACCGTCTGCTCTCCTCTTCTTCTTCCCCCTATCAAAAGTTCCATTGTTCGCCTATTTTCGGCACTTGCGCCCGTCGGATGGTGCCATTAGAATTTTTGAGATTCTTCGGAAAAAATCACACTTCTTCATTTTTCACATTTTCTCTTCACGTCGTCGACGTCTTCCGCTTTTTCAACGTCGGGTTGTCTACTAGTTCTGAACCCATTTTTCTTTTCCAACTGCTCCCAGAGAAAAAAACATTCCAATTTCAATGCTAAAAGACGAAGAGCTGCGTTTTTTTTCTGGCTAACTCGATAGTAAACACTTTTCGTCAAAACGGCAAGAAGCTCCCGTGTGGATAGGGTGGGTTTGGGAATTCTGAAATCTCTTTCTGAAGAATTTTTCAGTGGTTCCACGAAAGATGTTTTTTGGGAGATTTAAATAAGCTAACACGATGGTACTGGTTCTCAATAAATGAGAATGCCTAGAATTGTTCATCTTGTGCATGTTTGTTAAATCTCACGAAGTTTATGTTTATGACAAAATGTTCCTATCCGAAACTTACGACCATATTCCGCTCCTGTGATAGTTTCAGTTTCCAATTTTTTAAATCTTCAAAATTTCGAAACTTTTCTCTGGTAGACAAGTGGAATCTCCGTTATAAGTTTCACGGAAAACGTACGGGAATTTGTAATTTCGAAATACGCATTTTAGTGGGGGGCCATCTATTTTTCCAAGACCCTCTCGGAAACCCTTCTATTGAAGGGATCCTTCTAACAGGTTTTCCGGTAAATCGAAATAGGAGATTGAAGTTTCTTTTCCCATCTACAAATTTTCTGATTCTCAGTTGGCAATATCATCATTCAGCTATAATTAAAGCCTTCAGAGTAATCAATCAGCTCATTTTTCGTTCAATTTCAAATTTGAATTGAAAAACATTTTCAAATCTTTCTGAATCAAACCCGAAAGGGCGAGTGATGTTAAGCTGGTCGGTTCCGTTAGACTCTGCTTTGAACTAGGACGTCTTCTGAACTTCTGAATGCCTTCTGAATGAAAGAAAGGCAACTTTTAAAGAAACGACGTTTTTTTCCATCTTTTTCAACTTTGTTCAACGCCTTATTTTCTCGCAGTCTTCCAGTTATTCTTCAATCTGTCTGCAACTGACATTCACTTCCTAACAATAGTTTATATCCTTCTCCTCATATGTTAGGTTATTTAGATTTGAATGATAGTTATTATGATATTGTGCTTTCCCACCTGCAGTTTTTGCATCTCTTCACATTTTCGTTGCTTTGAAGATGTCATCGAGAAGAATAGACAGAAGACGACTATTCACAATTTTCAGCTTCACCAGTTCCTTCTGGAGCTGTGAATGATGTGTCATTTGCAATTCTTGTCAGTCCTTCCCCTTATTCTTCTCCTTCTTTCTTTTTTTATTTCTTTGCCCCACCTCACTTTTTTTCTGTTCGATTGCACTTCCGATGATGTACACACTTATAAATCTTCTCCTTCTTTTTTTCACATTTGTTTTCAGAATTTCGAGCACTGGGTTCTATTAAACTTTTCTTGTTATATTTGTCATTTTTTCTTCTGTCAGGCGTTCGTTCATTAGGACCGCCACAGACAAAATACACTAAACGAAATTATTCGGATTCGGGCTTGTTAGGTCCCAGTTGTTTTCAAAGTTTGCGATTCAATTCCTTATTTTCTTCTCTTTCTTGTTCTGGAACTACGATTGCCACGTCATCTGATCTTCTCTGAATTTCTCTGCGTTTTTTTCCTCCCGCTAATCTCTCTCTCTATCTATCGAAAAAAAAGAGAAAAAAGACAACTTACTTGGGGTGTCAATTTTCGGGTTTTGCGGTACAAATGAGGCAGTATCATCATCATCATCATCCTTTTGAGCCACTCCTTCTTCTTATAGTCCGTTTTCCCATTTTCTTTTCCCATCTCCTTCAACATTTTCCCCATGTTTCAATATACCCACACGTGATCAATTTTCGAATCTCCTGGGTTTTCCGATTCAGATCCCAGGATATTCTGGAGTCGAGAGCTACTCATAGTTTTCCTCTTTTAGAAGACGTGGAGGCGTGATTTCTCATTTTCCCCGTATTCATTCTCACGTTTTTTTGAGGTCGTAAACTGCGTCTAGTTTCGCCTTCTCCAGGAAAAATATTTGTTGGTTTGTTTGGATTTTCTAATATTTTTTAGGCCACCAAACATCCATCGTTCCGATTGAAACTCTAATCTTTCTGTTTTTTTGAATCTTCAACTCTGAAATTTTCGAAAATTCGCTTCCTCCTTCGCGGGCCCAGCCATAGTTTATTTTAGAATCATTATTTTTGGATAATCCAAATTAGATATGATAGAACAAGACTACGACTGCAAAATTATATTTTTGAAACACGGTATCTTGTTTATGAACAAAGTTACAAACAAATTGATCCGGGCCAGATCCGACCCATGCCTGTCTCTTTACGGTTTATAACTTTGTTCATAGACAAGATACAGTTTTCCAATTAGTATCATTTTATAGTACTCATCAAGTTATATCATATCTAACTTACTTGGTACGGAATTATTGCAGCGAAGACTCGCCAGGGCCCGGTTTACAAGTATGCTCTATCCAGACACCAGCCACCTCACGCATCATCCGTTCTATTCTATTTTCGTTCTATCGAATTCGATGAATATAAATGAAATAAAAACGAATATTTTCATGATTCCATTCCATGCCTTTGTTAGTTTTTATTTCGTCCATTTTTCCCCCAACTCCACAAGCCCTTTTTCTCTCCATTTTCCTCCGCCACTTGCCCTAGAGGGGCAAAGTTCCTCTTGAAACTCCGCCTACTTGGATTTGGAAAAGGCGGAGCCTTCTAGTTGGAGAAAGAGTCTAGCTCCAATGTTTGTTTCTCTGAAAACCTGGAGTTGTTCTCCTTCCTCTTTTGATCTTTGTTCCTATTTATGCACTTCATGGTTTTTCAAAAAACAGCTCTTTCTCTCTTCTTTCTGTTTTTTTTTCGGTTTCACTAATTACTTCATTTCCCACCAACAAGTCTACCTACACTTTTCTCATTTTCTTTTTTTCGGCTTTTTGAAAATTTATTTTCTTCTCTATTTTATTCTTCTCTATCTCTATTTTATTCTTCTCTATCTTATTCTTCTCTATCTCTATTTTATTTATCTCATTATTTTTTTTCTTCGGTCAGTTTGGTCATGGACGAGTAGGTGCCAAGTGAAACATGGATGTCATTGTGAACATCACTGATTTGACGCCGACGACGGCGTCCGGTGTTCCAGATGAATGTGGTCTGGAGCCACACGAATTTCTGGAGGTCAAGTTTTTTCTGATCAGTGTGGTTGGCACATTGATAGGACTGTTCGGATTGTTTGGAAATGCAACGACAGCTCTGATTTTGACTAGGTGAGAATTCTAATGTGGCGTCCAGAGCTCCCAAGTCTAAAATTCTGGGTCAGGAAATCTGTCCGAAGTGAAGCCTAGCTTCCCAAAATTTCCAATTTGCGCAGTTGAAACCAGCGTTACCTGTGTGAAATGTGAATCCTTGGGGTCACTTTGGACCTAGAAATCCCTGAATTGAGAATTTTGTTTAATACATTGTTGGAATCAATATCTCCCTTTCAGACCATCCATGCGGAATCCCAACAATCTGTTCCTCACAGCTCTGGCCGTTTTCGATTCTTGCCTTCTGATCACTGCATTTTTCATTTACGCCATGGAATACATCATCGAGTATACTGCAGCTTTCGATCTCTACGTGGCATGGCTCACTTATCTCAGGTTCGTGTTTCGATATCATTTTGAAGCTAGAGAGACAATCGAATTTCCTTATTGGAAGAGCTGACTTATTGCGCAAGGGGGTGGGGTGAGGGGGGAGGGTGTATTCGGAGAGAGAGCAAAAAGAAACAGGAAATTACAACGGTTTTTGGACTTTTAGCGGAGAAAAAGGAAGCAGAATGGTCAAAAGAGTAGATTGACATGAAGAGGGGATAAGCGACTTTTTTACTTTTCTTGAAGAGCATTGAGGAAGTGAAAAAGTAGGACATGATGATCGACAGCATTGATAGTAGTGAGAGCAAAAAAACGTAGAGGATGCTAGGAAAGTTTAGCGTCTTATGATTAGATTTGTGTTGAAAATATTGGGAGCTTAGGGCTTGGTGGACCCAGTAGTATCCCAAAAAAAGATGTGCAAGCGGGGTTTTTGGTCGTTTTGTTGGACTCTAAACCTAGTAGTCTAGGTGGGAAAATGCGAATGATTGTGGCAGTGGATGTACTTATTCAATCATCTCTTATCCCTTCAGTGACCAGAATTGTGGTGGGAATGAACTTTGGGAAGAAGACGACGTGTGTGTCGAAAAATAGAATGAGTACGGGAAACAAGAAAATAAACATCTTCAAGTGTGCAGAATGACTGATCATTCATCCATGTCTTCTTTTTGAAACCTTTGGAGGGATTAATGTGCGACATTTATTACTTTTAGTGTCGGTGCTTAGTGTGCATCATTAGACATTTGACGCCTCTAGCGCAAACTCTGAAAATGGAAGTCGAGATTTCGTTTCAGATTTGCCTTTGCCCTTTCCCATATCTCACAAACTGGAAGTGTATACATTACGGTAGCAGTAACAATTGAACGATATTTGGCAGTTTGTCATCCGAAACGAAGCAAAATGATGTGTGGACCAGGTAAAGGGATTCCTGGAACTCATCAAAACCATTAATTAATTCGTAGGCGGCGCTGCATGGACAATTCTTGGCGTCACAACATTTGCAGTCGTTTTTAATTGCACAAAGTTCTTTGAGCTTCAGGTCAGTGAGCATAGTAGTGACCCATTGGGAAACAAAATATAATTGTAAAATGGGTCTGAAAGAGATCAAATTCTTGTTCACAAACCGATTCTGGGTCGACTGATAGCTCGCTTCAAAATGGAAATTGTGTGCAAAACAGCATAACCGATGATAGAGCTCGGCAAGCTCATCAACCTTCCCTCCAAGAAGAATCGGCCAGAATTTATATAATAATTGCAACGTGCTGGGCCGGTCCAAGCAGGGCATTTTTCAGAATCTTCCCAGGACCCGGCTCGGCACGACCCGGCCCGGCTCGGATTTTCAGAAAAAATTGTTCCTACCTTTCCGAAAAAATCTTTGGGTTCAGTAGAAAAAATGGACGATTTTTCTGTCAAATGAAAACGTTTTCTAGATCTATTTCAAAGGTTTACTCCCTATGGGTCACCAATGTATAAAAATATGTTTCACAAAAAATTTTGAATCAATTTCTGAAAGTTCAATTTTTTCAAGTTTGGATAAGCCGGGCCCGCCGGGCCAAGTCCTGGTTTTGCAAGTATGATTTATTTATGATTTATATAGTAGAAAATTGTCGGACCAGCTAAAAACTGCCGGTCCGGACCATAAAGCCGCTTTCAAAGCTGGTCGAGTCTTGTTGGATGTTGCAGAGCTCGCCGAGCTCTATCATCTGGTATGCTGTTTTGCCGGCCCGTGCCTTTAACAAATATGATCAAATCGGTTCCAGGTCACTGTGAATCCAAACTGTCCTGATGGTAGTAACTGGCAATCTTATATTCTACTCCCATCTGCTATGGCGAGCAATCCGATCTATCAACAGGTTACTTAAAATTCCAAAGAGATTCAAATTTCTCTTTTTTTAAGGTTTACTCCCTATGGGTCACCAATGTCGTTATGGTCTTCTTCCCGTTTTTAACGCTTCTTCTCTTCAATGCCATCATCGCGTACACTATCAGACAAAGTCTTGAGAAATATGATTTCCATAATCAAAAGTGAGTGTTTTCCACCATAATCTGTTGCTCAATATTTCAGAATCCAAAGCTTTTCATATCATAATTTTATTGTCCTCTGTACTTCTATGTACGGCCGATACCCCTATTAAGATATATAAGAAGCCTCAGGCATGATTGTACAAATTGAAATGATTCATCTTCTATATGACATGCTTCGGAGTTGAGTTCTTGAAAGTTACTTTCCCCATGCAATCACAGATTCGTTTTTGAAAACTATCCCAATCTCTATGAATGCATCCCTCAGAAAGAAACTTCACATACATAAGACAAAATAATTCAAAAATGCACTCATGCTCTCCCACGGGGTCCCAGTCTGATAGTTTGATTCCAATTTCCCGGTTTTCCAATTTCATTGCAGAAGCGTGGTGGCCGCCCTTTCAGCCAGTGTAAATCTTCCGCGAAATATCGCCGGGTACTGTCCGTCCGATTGTCTTTGCCATGTCCCTCTGTCGTCCTTTACTCTCCGCGGCTTGGCTCCCCGTCGTACGGTAGTCGTTGTCGACTCATCGACGGCGGGAAGTGTTCCTACTGTAGCCACGTCGCTTACGTCGCCTGACTCTTTCCGGTGCCTCTATGAGCATGTTTCCGAAAGTTTTTCGTTGTCGTCAATTCCTTTTGTAGCATGTCACACACACACACACACACACACACACACACACACACACACACACACACACACACACACACACACACACACACACACACACACACACACACACACACACACACACACACACACACACTTTGCTTCTACGCTTCATCTCTACTATTCTGCTTCTAACTTTTAATTCGCTTCTAAATTTGCTCTTCTAGCTTTTTAGAGCTATTAACTCTTTTTTCTGCTTACTATATTTTTTCGAGTGAAATGACTTGGAATTGAACTGATTTGAAAAAAGAATATACCTTATTTTCTCTAATAGAAGCTCGCCCAACTTTGAGCTCAATCCCTATGAAAAATATCAAAAATTTGTCTATTGATAAATTATTTATCTTAATATTACTTAGATTGTATCAGTTAACAAGTTTCTGATATCTTTCGCAGGAATCGAGATAATTGAGCTCACAATTGACGGTTTGGGTAGGCTTCTAACAGAAGAACTACGGTAAAGTTTTCGTTCATTTTAAGGATCATAATGAAGTTAGCGGTCTAAAACTGCTGAACTGACTAATTTACGCATTTTTGAATTTGTCTCCAATAATCATGTAAAGAATGAGTCCTTTATAATTACATTTGTCTTGTTTTGGGCAAAAAATTATTCCAATGAGCCTTAGAATCCTTAAAGTGAAAAGAACCGAAATTTTTTTTTCATTCATTACAATTCCAAAAGCCTTTTGATTTTGATGAGTTAATCTTTCAGCTTTTCAATTTCTTTTTTTTCAGAATTTCTAGTCGAAACGAACTAAAAGAGAAATCACGAGAAGCAACACTGGTCCTTGTTATCATCGTTTTCATCTTTCTCGGTTGCAACTTTTGGGGATTCGTACTAACTCTTCTCGAAAGAATTATGGGTCAGGAGACGTTGATGGGAGATCATCACGTCTTCTACACATTCTCCAGAGAAGCTATCAACTTCTTAGCCATCATTAACTCATCTATCAATTTTGTGATCTACCTTCTATTTGGTAAAGACTTCAGGTAAGATTTATTCGAGTACTTTCTCAGGTAATCAAAGTTTTCAATGTTTCAGAAAAGAACTGGTAGTAGTGTACGGATGTGGTATACGCGGAATCTCTCTTCGACTTCCAGTTCAAGATAAATTCATCATCTGGAGACACTGGAAAAGAACGAAGTCTCGATTATCCATATCCCATTCAAATCGAACACGCCACAAGATTTCTCTTCCACAGACACTTGTTGAACATGCCAATCTGGAAAGACTGGAACAGACGAGATTTTTAGCACATCATGAAGATGGTGTACACACTCAGGTGTCCCCAATCCATGCACTTCGCAACGGTAGGCAACTGATTCGCAAGACGAAAATTCAAAAATATTAATTTTTCTCAGGTTCTATACCGAAATTCGATCCATTAAGAGACACATGTTCAAATGGGAGACCATGCAAAACAAGTGTTGTAGATGATAACGGGGCTGTTGTATGCACAGTTACAGAGTTTCCTTAAACTATGAATTGAGAATATGAAACTTTTTTCTTCTGAACAAAAAACATTTTCCCCTTTTACGGTTGTGATTCAATGAACTTGTCTATTTTTCTTGTATGTTTTCTTGATGTTCTTAAAACAATAAAGCCATGTCGATTTTTAAAATTTTTGTATTAAAGATACCGTATTTTCTCTAATGGAAACCATCCAAACCGCTAAATTTAAGGTCAGTTATCTCGATTCCTTTGAAAGATACCACTGCTAAATTATTTATTGTAATATCACCAAGATTTTATCAGTTTTTCTTTCTGATATCATTCACCGGAATCGAGATAATTATGCTCAAAGTTGAGGGTTTGGGTGGGCTTTAATTAGGAAATACAGAATGAATGTTAGGATGTGGCACAGCAAAAAACGAATCTGAGCAATATATTTTTCTGATGATTCCTTGACATGTCGGCAAAAAGAACTGATCTGATTAAGATTAAGATTAATTTATTTTCAGAGCGATGACCAACAGTACATAAGAAAAAGGCAGCCCCCTCACGAGGAGCGCCTAATAAGTTAAGAAGAGAAAATAATGGAAAAGGGAGGAATTATATCCAGTAAAATACATGTGTTAAAAATAAGGATCATAGCTAGTAGCGAGAAATAGAAGAATCAAGGAGATTTTCAAATTGGGACGGGGTGAGGAAGTGGGGTACATTGGCAGTTATGGCATTCCAAAATGGGATGGTGGACGCAAAGAAATCATTGATATGGGGATTGAGGCAAATTAAAGTCATGGGGCGACGGGCAGAGTTAGATAAGCGGAAATGAGATTCAGGGTGGGGAATGTAAGAAGTAAGGTTAATTATTTTGTACAGAAGCATTAACTGAGATTTAAGGCGTCTATGACGCAAAGAGAAAAAATTGAGAGCTTGGAGTCTGGAAGGATAAGAGGCACCGGGGGTAGACGAAAATGGTATATTACAACGTTGGCAAATAGTCTTGGAGAAGAAACGAAGGGGGGACTCAAGTTTTTTAGACAGTTTGGAATCGGGATGGGGGGAAAATATGACCGAGCAATTTTCAAGAATTGGCAAGACGTAGCAATTGAAAAAGGCAAGGTAGAATTCGGGGGATTTGGAGTTAAAGGATTTGAGGAGTTGTTTACACCGGAGAAGGGCAAGGGAGGAGACACGATTAATATGATCTGAGAACTTGAGGTTGGAATCTGTTAATAAACCCAGATCACGGATGGGGGAGGATGCTGTAATGGGGAGGCCATCAATTGCATAGGGATGAGAGGGGTTGTTTGGGCCAAGCCGGAGAAGAGCAGTTTTGGCAAGAGCCAGAGGAAGAAGGTTAGATTTGGCCCAGGCACCAATATGGTCAATACCTGATTGAATGGAGGACGGATCGTTGGAGAATATTTTGATATCGTCAGCAAAACAGGAAAAATGTAAGTTGGAGGAAAGGGAAAGGAGAAGATCGTTAATAAATATGATGAAGAGTAGGGGACCGGCTACAGTGCCTTGGGAAACCCCAGAGGGGGTAGGGTGAGAAAGAGGTTCAATGAAATGGTTAATTTTGACAGAAAAGGAGCGGTTAGTGAGGATGTCTTGGAACCAGTAGAGGAAGAGGGGTTGAACACCAAAATTTGCCAATTTGGCTAAGAGGAGGGCATAAGATACTTGATCGAAAGCCTTGCAAAAATCAAAATATACAACGTCTAGGGTTTTATGACGGGCCAGAATCATCTTATAACTGGAAATAGAGTGTATTAGGGCGTTTGTACAGGAACGGTATGCTAAGAAGCCATTTTGATAGGGGCTGAATTTGTGGGCGAGGTCAGATTTAATTCTATTACAAATGTCGCGCTCGAAAATTCGAGCAAAAGGGTCAGTTAATGATATAGGTCGATAATATTCGGGTAGGGACGGACTGCCTTTTTTGGGAATAGGAACAACAATTGCATGTTTCCAGGCAAGAGGAACATGGGACTTGGAATAAGATTCATGGAAAATGATGGAGAGGGGAAGAGCTAGTGAGGTGGAGCATTTTTTAATAACAAAGTAGTTTACGGGGTGGAGTGAGAAACCACGGCGGGGTGGTAACTTGGATTCGCCTAGTACGCTCCTCATCCGAATGGACCATTTTCTCTGGGTTCATAACTCGATTGGCTTTTCTTCTGAAATTTGGCAGCCTCAGGTAATTTATGACAGTTAATCTGATTTTTTAATGTCCAACATGGACACATCAACGCTGTTTGCGCGGCAGTTTAAAACAGAGGTGGACCTATAAACTGGAAGGACATTTTTTTAAAGTATTTATTTGGAGTGGTATGACAAGTCAATGCTCATTACTTTTAACTGTTGTTAGCCGCTCTTTCGCGGCATGATCAAATGGCTCATCCGAAATCAATAGTTTCAGGGACTCTTTGACTGTTCCATCATAGTTCTTCACCTCTTCGCCTTTTGTCGGCGTTCGAAAGGTTCCGCCCATTATAGTAGTTACACCTGGAATCGTGTTTGCACATTTGTATTCATCCTTTTTTTGATTGTGAGTCTTGCCGGTTTCGACACATAAATTACTTTTTCATACTACATTCTCTATTCACTTTTCTACACTTTTACTTTTCTGTCTTGTTTCTCCATTCTGACTATATTTTTAGATCTCTACCAAGCATGCCTGCCTTCAAGAGTAAGGATCTAAATCGGAATAGAACTTTCCTTCTCGAGTTTCTTTGGAACCTTCTGAACAATCCGACTCATCATGATATTATTGTGTGGGAGAACAAAAAAGAACTGGTATTCAGGATTATGAACAAAGATGCTGTTGCTGTTCTTTGGGGACAAAAGAAAGGTGGAAAGGCGATGAATTATGAGAAGTTGTCAAGAGCTCTGCGTCATTTCTATGGTACTCATGTGAAGAAGGTTAGTTATAAGTTGTGAATTTATTATCAGAAAAACAAACCGTTTCTAGAAAGGATTATAGAAAGAAGTATTACAGATCTCTGGAAAGTACTTCCATTATCAATTTATTAACATGGAAGCAATCCTACCGAGCACAGTTGTTCTACATATGAAGACAAACAAAACATCAAATTGTCGAAGGAGAGCCAAGAGTGAGTAGAATTTTCATCGAAGCTTCTATCTGAAGGGCAAAAAGGAGGGTTACTGTAGTTTTCAAATTCACTTTTAAAATTTGAGAATAATGAGGATTACTGTGGATTTCGGATTCATTTTTGAAATATGAAAATAATGGGGATTACTGTAGTTTTCAGATTTACTTTAAAATTTAAAAGTATTTAAGGAGGATTACTGTAGTTTTCGAATTAACTTTGAAATTTGAAAACAATGAGGGTTACTGTAGTTTACCGATACCCTTTTTCTTGATCTTCAAGTCATAATAATCCTTTCTAAAGATTGATTATGTGTATATTTCAGCTCTCTACCAACTGCGTCATCATCTGGAACATCATCTGCGAGATCGACTCCTCCCCAACCAATCGATATGGACACAGCATCTATTTCTATCCAGGAACTTGTTCAATTCAACGCATTTCTTCTAAAATTTCAATACCTTCGTATTCTTCCATTTGAGAATCAAGCACAAATCTTTTTCAACTCAAAGAAGGCATTTCCACAATTGTTTTAATTCTTTCGTCAAAGTTTTCTACCTCTTAATTTTCTCTTTTCTACTCCATTGATGATTAAACGGGTTTTCAAAAAGTTTGATTTTAAAAATAAAAATATTGATAAACAAAGCTATTTCATTGATTCATGAATAAGAAGCCGGCTTTGAAGAAGATGCCGTAGACGCTTTAGTAGAGTGACCACTAACTATTAATTTTGAGCCCACATATAGGAAAGGGGGTATTTCAAAATTTTTTAAATCGTCGATTTTTTTTCGAAAATCTAGAAAAGTCTGTGACAATTAGACAGATCTCATTACTTAAATTATAAAAAGTGTACACTATGTTGAATTTTGATGAAAAAAGCAAAGATGTAGGAATCTCAATGATTTTACATTCATTATGATTTTTATTCATTTCTCATTAATTTATTCATGTTCACGTGAAAAATATTTATTTAGATCATCAAATATAAAAAATAGAAGATATTTAAAAAACACAGAAAGGAAGGCACTTCTTTTCTGTGTAGAAGAGAATAGACACTTAAAAAGACAGAAAAGAATCAACTTCCTTTCTGTGCTTTTTATGTGTGGGGGAAAATAATTCAAATTATTCCTGATAACTAAGTGAACTTTAACTATACAGAGTTAAAACTACTTTGAACGTGGAGTTGAAACAAAAACTCGAGAAGGTGAATTTGAGTGGTGAGCTGAAGTGATGGCGGATTTGAAGATTGGCGACATCCACTGTGAGTACTTGATACGAACCTGTTCCGGATCTCATTTTAGCTGCTGGATTACTTTTCAAAATCATAAATTGATAAATAACTCTGAGAATGCACTTCACCCGAACCGAACATTGGCCCTCCAGCATTTAAAAGAATCGAGCAGCTAAAATGAGATCCTGAACAAGTTCGTATCAAGTACTCACAGTGGATGTCACCAATTTTCAAATCCGCCATCACTTCAGCTCACCACTCAAATTCACCTTCACCACTCAAATTCACCTTCGAGTTTTTGTTTCAACTCCACGTTCAAAGTAGTTTTAACTCTGTATAGTACTCTGTATACTCTGTTCACGTAGTTATCAGGAATAATTTGAATTATTTTCCCCCACACAGAAAAAGCACAGAAAGGAAGTTGATTCTTTTCTGTCTTTTTACGTGTCTATCCTTTTCTACACAGAAAAGAAGTGCCTTCCTTTCTGTGTTTTTTAAATATCTTCTATTTTTTTTATATTTGATGATCTAAATAAATATTTTTCACGTGAACATGAAACAGGAAAAAATTGCCTCCTGTAGTCTACTCTATTTTTGACTAAATTTGTAAGGAAAAAAACAGATCACAGTGCTTTCAATGTTTCGAATATATTCTCTGGAAAACCACGGAAAAGTTATTTTTTACGAAAAAAAGTTAAAAAAATTTTTTTTACGAAAAAAAGTTTTAAAAAATTTTGAAATTCCCCCTTTCCTATATCTCATTTCCCGTAAAAGATTTCGAAAAGTGTTCAACTAACAAAACGTTTATCATGATATTACCAATATTTTGTTAGTTGACATGTTTTTGATATCTGTTACAGGAACCGAGATAATTAAGCTCAAACTTTTTGGTTGTGGTATGGGGGCATTCGATTACAGTGCTTACAGTAGTGCATTTTGAAAGGAGCAAGACCCTGAAAATTTTGTCCGGGGTTTTTTTGAAAAAGCGTTGAAGACACCTTGCACAAAATGATTTCTGTTCAAAATGTATCTTCTGACCTGATTTTGAGTAGTTTCTTTTTTGCCACATGGCAGTACTCATTACAGAACTAAAAGTTAGTTTCAATTTCAATACACAATGTTGCTTTTTATCTTGTTTACAATAAAACTATCTTCTGGAGCACTGTATGATGGGAAATTTTTTGATCCCAAAGATAGAATTCGTAAGTGAAAATCATGATTCGTGCATTCTTGAAAAAACAAACTTTTTCTGAAGGTGCCGAATGTATCGTACAAAAAGCGATGACCGATTATGAATACCTTGGAAACGTGGATAAATCGAACGAAGGGGAATCGTGTGTTCCATGGATCGAATCCACTGAATCCTGGTTTTCAACTGCTTCCAACACTGAAAAGCAACGAAAACAGCCAACGGAAAACTTTCATCATTCGAAGTGTCGGAATATTAAGCTCCCGATTGACCATCCAATGCATAATGTTACTGCAAATGGAGCATTAAAGACAGATGACATAACATCAGGAAGAAAAGGTCCTTGGTGTTTCATCGAGAAGCCAGGCAACGATGGGATATCAACTTTTAGTTACAGTCCATCTGCATGTTTTGATCCGTGTGATGAGACCAGAATAGTATCAGACACAGAGAAGAAGCGAGTTATAGGTTTGGAATTATCTGAACCCCGAATTTCTTAAATATCATATTTCAGAAAATGGGTATACAGTTCTCAAGTTAAACTATAATCCAACTCTTTTGGATCCAATTGAGAAACTATTTGACAGCTACGACTTTGGGAATATGAAGTATTATACCTTTGTGAGCAAATCATTAATCTATTTTTTAAAATTTCGAACAATTTAGAAAAAATCGAGAGAGCAAGCGCCTCAATATCTGGTGCTCCGACGACGAGTTTTCACTGCTCTGTGCATTATATTCGTCGCTGTAATGATTTGGATTTTAACATGTTTCTGTATTAAAAAACATTCTCAAAAGATTCATAGAAGAAAGCAGAAGGCTCTCGAAGGATTCTATGAGAATACAGACCTGGCGGACATCAAAATGCAGTCAGAATTGAGAAAGGAACGAGAGGATGCATAAATAGAACTGTCTTTAAGTCATACATGGCATTAAATGAATAAACTAGAGATTGTTTAAAATTGAACAAAAAATGCAAACATGAACTATAGACACAAGAACAACTTTGACAAAATGATAGAATCATGAAATGCAGTAAAAATTGGGTAAAACAAGTGCAATAAAACTAGGGTACATAGAATGTACAAGCGGTTGGAGTAATCTTTACTCCGGGGGATCGAACTTCATGAAGCTGTCCATCATCTTTTTGCTCTCTTCCATGCAGACATTTTTTTCATCAGCGAGATTGAAGTCGTCCAAATTGTACAAAGAAGGAGTGGTGGGCTGAAAAAATCCAATTTAATTAAAGTAAATCGTTTTGCCAATGATACCTCTGAAGAACGCCGTGGTCTTGAGGTCTCATCACTGAAACTCATCGGTGCAAGTTTTGTGATTGGAGATGGAACAAATGAATTCAAATATGCGGATGGGTCGGTCAGACGTATTCCAGAAACTGGGTGAACGTAGGTAAACGGAACACCAAGAGAATCCCCACGAACAGTTTCAGATGCTCCAACACACGGGTATGGTTCGTCGGAACCATTATAAAGCATACTAGATTCCATTGTTGGAGGCATTGCATATGGCGGCAGAAAAGGATATAATGACGAACTATGAAAATTGTTGTTCAAGAACGGACCATCCGGAAAGAATAGTTGAGGACTCGAAGAATTCTTCAGAATTCCGTTATCAAGAGAAAAGAACGACTTCATCTGCGGAGACGTTGATTGACGCATCGAACTGGACGAGCTTGGCATCGAAGGTGACTCTTTGAATGTTTGACTACTTTCGAAAACGTCATCCTCAAGCTCATTGTTTTCATAATCTTGAGACTTTCTGAAAGAGAAATATATTTGAAGTACAGAATGGATGTTTCACTTCGTTTGATCGCGTTGGCCGTTTTTCATTGGTGTTTTAACATCGATCCACTGCAAAGAATCGCCATTCTGTTCGGAATCGCTGGCGCGGATTCTACAAGTCAATTGACCAGTGGATGACCCATTTATTTTGTGCACAATTTGTTGGAATGTGACAGGGCGAGGTTGTCGTTGAAACGTTGAACTGTTAACGGCGGCGGTTCCATCGTTGTCTGTTTTCGAAGACTTTGACGCTAGACGGTCATCGGTCTCAGCCATGTCAAACTCTCTAGAACTGTTTTATTATTTTCATACTGTTTCATGAAGTACCTCTTCAGAGAAGCCCACGATCGATATCTTTTCTCCACGTGTCTCCTCTCCATTCTTCTAGCATCTTGTTCCACTTTCCGCTTCTGATAGTTAACCACATCATCAGCTTGTTTTCGAGGAGAATTTTCTTGGAGTATATCCGGAACCCTGCAAAAAAAGAATTGTCAAGCAACCAAATAAACAATATCTACCTATACGGTTTAGGATCTCTATAGAGTAGGGTGTCATCCTTTCTTCTTGTGAATCCGTCCGGAAGAGGTGGTTGTGATGAATCGGTGAACGCGTTCCAAAAATCGGCTTGAGAAGTTGCCAATCCACGTTCAAGTATGTTCTTAGAATAGGGACAGTTTGCAAAAACTGGAAGATCGTACATCGACATGGGCGGTGGAATTTTTCTGAGAGATATCAAAGTTTTGATGACAGCATCCTGAAGCTCAATGATTTCTTGTGGACTGAGCTCCTTACTAATATAGAACAAGGTACTGAAAATTAGAGGAGGATGTTAAAGTAATTCTAAACTCAATACCCTTGTTGCTCATCCTCTTCTGGTGGCTGCTTGCGAACTCTAATGCGTTTATTTGCGGCAATGTCGCGACGAAGTTGATCAGCGAACTCCGAAAAAACAGTTGCACGACGCTGATTCGCCTTTCTCATTCTATCCATCACCGAGAGTGGTCTTTGATCAGCGTTCCGCTCATCTGGTTTCGGAAGGTAAACGCGTTGAACAACAAATTCTTCGTCATCTGAAAACACACAACAGAAAAACCATTTATGCCGGGATAACTGGAATACCATCTTCAGAAAACTCTCCGCGAGGCGGAGGCTTTGCTTCGCGCCGTGGAGATTCCATAGACGGGTCATAAACCATGTAGGGAGCTTCTTTTCCATCACTTCCTTTGCTGGAAGTACAGTTGCTGAAAACTTTCCGAATCGATCGGAATGTTTGGCAGCCCTTTCGATTACAGCGATATGCCGGATACTCTCGTTGTTCTCCGCGATAACGAGTTCTTCTCAAGCACAGGTTCATCATTTCATTGCAAAGATGACACTCAATCGCGTATGGAATCTGAAATGCATTGAGAACGGAAACGCAAACAGCGGGTGAATAAGCTACTTTGTATTTAACTCCTCGAACATCGATTTCGACTTCGTTTCCATCCACCTCCACTGGTTCGCTATCGATTCCTTGGTCGAACATCTTATACTCATCGGGATCCACTTTTTCTTCTAGCCCTCCTTCGTATATTATGTCAGCTGAGCATTTACCAACTTTCAACGATTGCACCTGAATATCAAAAATCATAATTCTTTAGGCGAAAAAATCTAACTGGTGGCGGCTGACTGTCGAATGTAGAATTTTGAAGTGTCTGATGATTGGCAAAACTCGAAACATTTGTTCCCGTTTGCAGATCAACGTCTGAAAAATTGAAATTAGTTTACATGAACTGTTGTGATTCGAGACGTTTACCATTAGCAAGCGCATCACCGATAATATTCGACTTTTCCGGAGAACCACTAGCGGGGAGAATTAGGTTTAGCGGATTTTGGCGGTGAGATTCTGACAAGCTCATTTTTATGAGAAATGACACTAAATTTGGGCGGAAACTGAGTCGTTTGACAGAATTTATCTCGATAAGCGCCGGCGCGAACATTTCGAGTCGGGACCGGATCACTAATGAACATGCGCCTTTAATACAGTATCCATGAAGTTTATGAGCGCCCGTTTTGAGAAGGCGTCAAAGTAAAACTATTCGAAAATTAAAAAAAACAGTTGAGACACCAAATCTTCCGTTCCACTAATACAAGTTTTAGCTTGATCGGCTCATTAAACAAGAACAGTGGCTCGCATTAAATTGCAACTACGATAACCTAAAAATATTTTTATTTTCCGGACTTATTTTCTCGACTATCGTACGTTTCAGTCAATTTTTCCCTATCAAAAATTTCCCGACTTGTTTGGGGGAAAAACAATAGGAACTTGACGAAAATCAGTGAAAAACGAGAAAACAAAAATCCTGAAATTAAACATATTTTTAGGTTACGGTAGTTGTCTCTGTGGGACCTTCTGCTACAGCCACCGGCGTTCCTCTTCCACAGCTCGGATTTTTTTAATTTGATAATTTTTGACGGGTTGAGTGTTACTTTATTATTTTCGAAACTTTGTGATCTTGAAACATTTCCATCGTTGAATTTTTAACTTTTTGCTAGACTTCTTTGTATTCCAAAGCACGCTCCCCCACAGAACAATTCCGAACTGCAAATTAATTTTTGATCTACAGCAAAAAAGTTTGGCGCGATCACAATTGCAGGTCTAAAACCATAATTTCAGAATTTTTTATCTGATTTTGTGGAGTTCCAAGATGATTCAAATGATTCTTAAAAAATTAATTAGAAAAAATGTCAAAAATGGTCATTTTGAAAGTTTTTTACAGAAAAAATCTATCTTCTCTTTCAGTTTTTGACATTTCTAAGAGTTCTATAGCTCAAAAAAAACCACAATTATTTTCTCTACATTTACTATGGACGAATTTTTAATTCGTCTGATAAAACTTTTTTATAATCAAAAAACAACACAAAAATGCTATTTTGTGCAATTTCATGAGGTTTTTGAATTATAAAAAACTTTTATCAGAAAAATTGAAAATTCGTCCATAGAAAATGTAGAGAAAATAATTGCGGTTTTTTGAGCTATAGAACTCCTAGAAATGTCAAAAACTGAAAGAGGAGATAGATTTTTTCTGTTAAAAACTTTCAAAATGACCATTTTTGACATTTTTTTCTTCCGGAAAACGACCATACATGAATCTATAACCACTAATTAATTTTTTAAGAATCATTTGAATCATCTTGGAACTCCACAAAATCAGATAAAAAATTCTGAAATTATGGTTTTAGACCTGCAATTGTGATCGCGCCAAACTTTTGCTGTAGATCAAAAATTAATTTGCAGTTCGGAAATTGTCTGTGGGAGAGCGTGCAAAGTCAAAAACTAAGCAAAAACTTCTTCACACATAGAGTTCTTAGTAAAATGATAAGCTCTGCAGCAAAACGGAGCTCAAAGCCTGCTGCTGTCAGATGTTAGGAAAAATATTTATTTTTACCCTTGTATTAATCATGTCTAGGTCTAGGTTAAGAATATCATTTTTATGTCGCCACGCCCATACTTGTAAAATTCCGGGCCGGCCCGCCAAAGCGCGAGCCTGAGGAAAATTTCAAGGCCCGGGCCCGGCCCGGAAGGTCCGGTAGCAAAAATTTGTCATCTGGAACCGAATGCGGATCTGTCGGGTCGATGCTGTATATTTTTGGGTCTTTGTGGGAGTGGTGCGTCTGTTTGATCAAAAAGGTCATACGGTACTCGGAGAGGATGTGTTTATCGAAAAAAATCACGTATGGGTCCCCCCTTATGGGTTTGTTGAAATTTTCAAAACTTGGTGAATGACAGGGCCGCCGGGCCGGGCCAGGCTTCCGAAAATCGGGAAGAATCCCGGCCCGGCCCTTTTCAAGTATGGTTTACGCCCCTTCGGGGCTAATCCGCCTGGCTCTTGCTTAAGATACCCGTAATCTGATAAAAAAGTCGTGTCTTTCCTATAAAAGCCATCAATAGCCAACTTCGGAAAATTTCTCTAATTCAGAAATTCTAAAACTTGGAATTTATAAAATCGAAAATTTTGTGAAATTTGGAACTTATAATTTCAGAAATTCGAAAATTCTGAAATAAACAGTTCCCAAACTCTCAAACTCTCATTTCCTCGAATCTCAAGCAAAAATTCTGGAAATTTTGAATTCCTGAAATTAGAAAGTTCAAATGTTCGATAATATGAAAATTCAGAAATCAGAAACGCATCGAATTCCGGAATCAATTTCGACATTCATTTCGAAAATTTTTTTCTCGAAATTATTCCAAGTCAGTTATTGCAAAAGTCAGTTATTCGGAAATTGGAAATTCAAGAAATGTTATTTTTCGAATTTGAATATTTCCTAACTTCCTTATACTATAACTTTCAATTCTGAAATTCCAAATTCTGGAAATTCAGAAATTGAAAAGTTATCAAATTTGTAAAACTCGGAAATTTCTGAACTTTCGGGTTTATGCATTTTGCGATTTCCCGAATTTTTTTTGAATTTCAGGTTTACCGAATATCTGAATTAGAAAGTTTTTGAACTTTTCGATTTCCGATTTTCTGAATTTCTGAATCTCTAAATACATTTCAGAAATTTAGTTTGAGAATTGCTCAAGTGCCAAAAAATTTTTGAACAAAATCCAAAGATCAAATTCATCAGGATCAAAGTTTAAAAATTTAAAAACTCAGAAAATCAAAATTTCGAAAACTCTATTCTAAGAATTTGAAGTCCGGATGATCGAGACATTCCAGAAAACTTAGAAACCAAACTAAAATATTGCAAATTCTGTAAATTAGGATCCCAACAATTTAGATGCTGATATTCAAAAATTCGGAAAACTTGAATTCTTAAAATTCAAACTCCAGAAAACCAAAATATCCAGATAGCTTGCTCTCATTCCTCCTCACATTCTCTCCTTTTAACCCATCATTCCAGTCGTTCCCTGCCCTTTATAAGATTCAAAGACCCATACTGAAAAACTATTTGCCCAAACACTCCTCTTTCTCAAAGATATTTAGCGTGGATGAAAAAAAAATTGGGCGGTTAGACGGGAATGGCGTGAATATTGCCTAAATAATTTTCTAAAGATTTGTACTGAAAAAGAAGAAAGACGTTTCCAGAAGACGTCAGAGACAAAATTTCGAAAATAGAAAAGGTCGGGGATAAACTAATAAAAATTTCCGATCCATCCATCCAAATTCTAGCTCAATCGGTTAAGTTTGAGTGGGTGAAACGCCACGCGACATACATCATCACAGACAGAATTTGGTGTTTGTTGTTAGTAATGATGTTATTAGTGATGATACCCATAAATCCCTTAAAGTATGAATTTTATTCGCCTGAATGTACAGATCATTTTTACATTTTTACAAATTTGAAGAAACACCGAAAATCAAGTGGACTGGAGTGAAATTACAAGAATGAGAAAGAATAAGTTATAATAGAAGAAGTATGGCTGAACGATCACCACAGCGACATCTCGTTCATGTCCTCGCCGTTGAAAATGCGGAAGTAAAAGATGACGACGCCAAAGTTGATGAGGTTGGCAATGAACACGAGGAAACACGCGGATTTAGCTATCTGAAATACCGGAGTTAAGGTGTTTTCCGAATAAGGCAGTACGACGAACCACAAGACTTTGAAAGAAAAAAAAAGACAATGACAGTGAACACGCGATTTAGAAAAGGGATTGGCTCCAGCTGCCACTGTCGTCATCACGATGCAAGTAGAAGTATGCGATAATAGTCCCGAACATGATTGTTGATCCAGTGTTGATGAGGAAACATGCTCCGTGCTTTATCTAAATTACACATTCAATCATGCGGAACACAAAAGAAATAATAAAAAGACGGAATGTAAAACTCACCGTTCCAGCATGAGCCAAGACAACCGGGAGAGCGAATGCAGAAATAACGATACCAGTGGTGATGAAGAGAGCCAGTTCAATGCATGCGTTGGTTCCTGTCATGTCCTCTTGGAATCGTCTTGCTATCAGAAGAGGAACCGGCGACAGGATGTAGAATGCAATGACAAACATTGGGGACCATGTTCTGAAATATAAATATTTAGGAAAGAACTCGGCAAATGTTTGGAACTTACCCATACATTGGGAGTGCGCATCCGAGAACAAGGAATGTGAGTCCAACAACTCCGGCAAAGGCAAGGGCAGCAACAGCTAAAATTGGATTTTTTATCGAGCAGCAGTCAGTGCAATCAATGTGGATATGACAACACATTTTACATAAACTGATTCGAGGATTTTGAGAGCCACAGATAATACTAAAGCCCCACGTGAATGGGATCATTGTTGCCGACATAGTTCGCAAACTCACCTCGAACTCCTCCCATGATTTTTCGTTTATCTCGAGCGTAGCAAATAGACTAGATGTGAGATATCTGTAAAATGTCTTCAGTTTTTACAGTCGTTTATTACACAAAAAGTTGATGAGAAAATCGATGGACAAAACAAGGGCGCAAAGTGAGAAACCCCGAGGTGTGTGCACTTTGACGTGACGGTGTCTGCACACATTTCCACCGTAGTTTTTCTGAAATATTTTTTCGAAATAGAAATTGAGCTCAAATTGTGTATTCGCTATCAAATAATTCATCAAAATGAACCCTATCACAAACATTAAAAATCAAAATCGTATGAACGAGCGAGAGCTCAATTTGGGATATGCTGGAGACCTCAAAAAATCGTGGCATCAAACATACAAAGACTCGGCTTGGATTTACATTGGTGGATTGTCATATGCTCTTTCAGAAGGAGATGTTATTGCTGTTTTCTCACAGTGAGTTTATTTAGTTTTTTAAAAGCTTTGGTTTTGTTTTGTTTTTAGGTACGGTGAAGTAATGAACATCAATTTAATTCGTGACAAAGACACTGGAAAATCAAAAGGATTCGCTTTCCTGTGCTATAAAGATCAGAGAAGTACAGTTTTAGCTGTCGACAACTTCAATGGAATTACGGTAAAATTTGTTGAAATTTCTCTCAAATATAGCAATTTTCAGTTACATAAACGAATGATTCGAGTGGATCATGTGGAAGAATATAAAGTTCCGAAATACAAGGAAGACGCTGACGATGAAACTAAACGACTCTGGGAAGAAGGATGTGCACCTAAACCAATCATGCGCGAAGCAGAACCAATGGAAATTCAAGAGAGAAGAATCAAAAAGGCAAAAGAAGTTTTGTTGGATATTGGAGACGTTGATGAAGAGTTATTAAAGAAGATCAAGAAGGATAAAAAGAAGGCAAAGAAGGAGAAGCGACGAGAAAAGAAGCGAGAGAAGAAGCTGAAGAAATTGGAGAAGAAGGCAGCACGAGATCCAGATGGAGACTGGAAGAACAAGGCGAAACTGATCGACAAGGTGGTTGCCGAAGACGATTTGTACGGAGAAAACAAGCACTTCGATTTTGGAAAGAAGAAGGAAGTGGAAGAAGTGAAGCACAATCCAAGACCAGATTTCGAAAAAGCCGACTGGCGAGATATCGAAATCTGGAAGGTTATCAGAGAACGCGAGAAAGCTGAGAAGGCAGCAAGAGGAGAAACTACAGAAGCGTGGGGTCCAGAAGATCATTATGTCTCAAAGAGATACCAAGGAAGGTGAACAGTCTCTTTCTGTTTCCAATAAAACGATTTATTTTATTTTTCTAAAGTTCTTTGGTTTCATTAGACATAGTAAAGAAAATCAGCCAATTGAAACCCCAATTAAAGAACTTCGAAGTTCTAAAAAATCAGACTAGAGAATTCGGGAAAGCAAAATCAACACGAAAGCTTTAGAAAATATTTATGTTCGAAAAAATGAAAATCAAGAGTTCAAATTCCTTTGACAACCGGCATATGATGGAAACGGCTGGGACGTGCATGCATTTTGTGCCAACACGGTTCACAGTAGTACTGAAAACACTCAAGTGATGGACAAAAGAATGGAGCATATTGACGGTGATAACGGCTAGAGCATTCTTCACACGATTGGTTATGAAAGAAGTATGGTTTGATTTCCACCTGAAAACAATTTATTATTAGTTGGACCTGAAAACTTTAATCTTACTCTTTTGTGAATATCCTCGTGGTCCAAAACTATGTATCGATCCGTAATCGCCTGAACGTAGGCATGGTAATTCGAAAAAGCCACACGACCAGATCCACGTGGATACTTGAATTTGTTATCAATGTCAATTCCAACGCACACTACATTACCATAGGTTTGCTCGAAGAAATGAGCCAACTCGACAGCCTTCAATGGTCTAGGAACTCCTCCGATGAATGCAACCATTTTTGTGTTGATGGGAACATTGAAATCCATAAGGAACTCAGCATCAGCTAACAACCAGGGACGAATCTGGACACGAATCGGTTCAATGGCACTCTCCAGGATAATGAATAGTCCTTCCTCTTCTTCGAAACATTCAGTGACTAGGTCACGGACACTACGTTCCTTTTCAAAGAGAAGGAACACGTATCCTAGATGTTGTTGCTTTTTCTCTCCTTCTCCAGTACTCCTCGGTCCACTGCCGCCACCGAATCCAATGTTCCGCATCGACATTCCGTGGGTTGGGAATCCTCCTCCTCCACCATCAACTGATCCATGGCGACTCATTTGAAGATCAGATGGAGCTGGTGGACAATCAGTCATGAATGGATTAATTTGACCAAATGGAGGTGATGACAATCCGAGATGTGATGTTGGCGGTGTGAAACTTGGTTCGTTGTATACGGAAGGATCAGAATCGGATTTACATCCGTAGTGTTTCGATGGCCAATCCACCTGTAGACGACCGTATCGGGAGAAGAAATGAAGAATGTCCACTGAAAATAAACTCAAAAAATCGAGAAAATTCTTTTGAATACTCACTCTCTTTCACACACGCAGGCAGACCTCCAACAAAAACTTTCCGACTGTACACCTCGGGACCAACATTGTGGTGATAATAATACTTCGAGTAACGACCAAGACGTCGATCTGGCTCTCGGAAGTTGGAAACAACAACTGCATGTTTGTTGCGAACCCGATAGTCTGCACCACCGCCAGCATTCGGATTGCATGCACAACGGAGAATCTGATTGAGCTCAGTGTTGGGATACATCTCTAGTCTAGAAATTTTAACAATGAGAATATATTCTTATGCTTACCAGTTTTCACCTTTTCCTAGTTGTTTCGTACAAATCGATGAACGGTTTTTCATAATAATCAGTTGCACTTTCATCAATACTCCGAATCAGGAACAGCATTTCTGGACGACCAGAGAAGTAGCTACGGTAGTTGTTGTAGAATCCTTCATTTGGGTCAACAGGCATCTTTTGATCTGTTTCTGGACCCGAATCGAACATCTCCGTTTCTTTGCCTTCTGTTATTATTTCATCCTGCTCCTGAATATCCTCTTCTTCTTCTTCTGAATCAACTTTCTCACTCCAATCCAATCTCTCTTCTTCACATTCTTGCTCCTCCTTTTCGTGAAGACGTTCCAAGTTTTGACGACCCAATTTGCTTTGTCTAAAAAAATATTTTTCCTCCTCCATTCCCTCGACACTATCGTCCATTTTTTTAGACTCTTGTTGTTTAATGGAAGATAACGTTTTGCCCTCAAGTTGATCGCCATTCCCCCAAAAGTCGTCGTCACCTTGGATGGATAGAAAAACTCGTCTCGATTTCGACATCTGCAATTGAAAATTTAGAATTGAAGATTTAGGTCCGTGAGGATTAGCTTACCTTCGAAAGTCGCTTTAGCGATGGATAAAAATTAATATCAGAAAATAACCAGATCTCCAGTCCGGTCCTCCCTGCCACATGATCCACACGCGGAAGACCCCTACAGCTGCCCTGGATTCTAGAATATTTTCACGTTTTCCGTTAAAAATTTTCTAAAAGAGCAAGAGAGAGCTAAACAAAATTATTACCTTTTTTAAATAAATAAATGAAGTTTCTTCTCTTTTTTCTAGCATCCTGAACAATTTTAATAGCTTGAAAATTACTGTAAATGCTCTTATAGAAGCACACCCTTCATAGTGCAATTCGAGCTCAATAATCTAGGTTGCAAAAAAATATTTCAAAAATTGATTAACTGATGCAATGTTGGTGATATTATAATATGACCAACATTTTATTAATTGACCTGTTTTTGATATCTTTCAAAAGAACCGAGATAATTGAGTTCAAAGTGCACATATAGGAGCATCTTCCAGAGCATTTAATTTTCGAAATTTTTTTGGAACGTTCGATTTTCAAAACTTCAGGATTTTCCAAAAATGTCAATGTTTTGAATTCTTTGAAACATTCGAGTTTTAGGATTGTTCGAATAAACTTTCGATTTAGAATTTACTGTGAACATAAATTTTGATGTGATCCATTCAGAAGAAAAGTCCAATTAAAAATAGTGAGGAGAGGATCGACGTTAAAATAGAGTGGATCACGCCAAAGGAGCACCAGCCAGATGTTTGAAGCTCCAGAGACGCGGCAAACAGGCTGGTACTCAAAAATATATTTTCCAGTTGTTAATCTAATGCCTATTTTTAATTTCCTTCTATGTCTGAATACATTCGATATACTCTTGTGTATTGCACCTTTTCTCTTTTTCTAATCAGCCGTCGTTTCTTGACCAGAAATTAGCCTTCTCTTGCGTATTTCCACCTAGTTCTGACGCATTCTACGGTGATCGTTGTCTATAATTTTCTCACTTCTGTCCAAATTTAGAGGCGGGCTTCTCAAGAAACTGACATTCTCGATTTGACCAAAATAAAAGGAGAGTAGAGGAGTCTACCGTTGTCTCTTTTCGCTTCCTCAAATTTTATCTTCTAGTTGTTCCTCTCTTGGATTTACCGTAAAACCTGCAACAGAAGATCCCCTAATTTTTACTTTAATAGTAAGTCAATTTATCTCTGTTTCTGTCAAAGATATTAAAAAGTTGTTAATTGATAATATAAGATCCTGTGATTTTCAAAAAACATATTTTTTCGTTTCTTGTTGTTGAAATCTAAAAGTTTTTGTACCCCATCAACTTTATTTGTTTCAAGCAATATGCGGTTAGAAAAATGGACAAATAGTACAAATTTTCAGCTCGGGCTTTTTCACTGCAAACTTGAAGATTGTGAAATAAGATAACGTCAAAAAACAAGTGACACGATTTATTTGAAAATATGACCTGATTATTGGGGGATTTTTCCCCCACTCACACTCATTAACTGTATCCCCATCCCGAAAAATTTTCAGTGTCACGTTTTTTCTCACGTTTATTCCTTTTTTGAAAATTCCAGAATTTTCATCGAGGATTTTCTGTACTTTTTCATCCAACGTTTATTTTTCCCCCAATAATCAGGTCATATTTTTAAATAAATATATTTTACCGTGTCTTATTTTTTAAATTTTGCTTTATAAATACACAATTTGTAAAACGTTGAACGGGCTACTGAGATTTTGTACTTTTTGTAGGCTTTACACGAAAAAACGGCTACTGCAACTGAAAATTGCGTCGAATACTCGAAATTGGTTAATTTTTACTGTTTCTTAGTTGTTCAATAATTCAAAGAAATCTCGTATAATAGGAACGCTTTTTCAACGATTTTTTCTTTAATCGGGTTTAAATTTTTATTTTTGAAAATCATAGTCTCTTATATTCTTATCAGAATATCAAAAGTGTTTTGTCAGTTGACACATATCTGATATCGTGCATAGAAATTGGGGTAATAGAGCTCAAACTTGACTGATTTTGATAATCACAGTTTCCACCATTTTAACTTTTTTGAAGAGAATGATAAAAACAGAAATTTCAAAAATACTGATGTAAAAACCTAGATTTTCAAAATTGAGTTTTTCTGTTTTGATACAGGACAACACAGAAAAAATAGTGGTTCTTATTCTAAAAGTACTGTGGAAAGCAATAATCTACGTAATGTGGGTAACTAACAATTATAGGATGCACTTTTGTTGCTTCCTCTCCCAACGATAATTTACCGTAAAACCAGAAATAGAAGGGACCCCACACTGTCAAATTTGAGAAATTGGCTCAAAATTGAAAGTTAGAGAGGCCTTTCTATGAGGTTTTAAAGTAATACGTTTTTCAAATGTTTTTTATTTAATTTTTTTATTTAATTTCATATGTTTCATTGGAATTTTTTAGACTCCTCGAAGTAATAAAAATTGTGTTTTGACTCTGCTTTCTTTCAGTTTCTTTCTGTTTCCATCCATTTCTATTCACTAAATTTCCCCCAAACATTTACTCTCCCACTCAAATTTGAACAAAAAAATTCTGACCCAGATCTCCCAAAGTTTTCCGATGTTTGCTCTTTTCTTTTCTATTTTTTTCGCTCTTTTTGTTGTGTTGGTCCCACCTTCTCCTTTTTCATATGACTCATTCATGTCTATCGGAAAGAAGAAAAAAGAGAAAAGACCCCCACATTTTCTTGCCAAAATGAAGCCGTTCAGACCACTGGTTGCCTCAACGACGCCGCCTGCTCCACATCGATTTTGTCGTGTCACCTGCTTGTTGCACATTCCCTCACTTCTAGCTGCTTCTCTTCATATTCTTCTCGCTTCTTTTTCTCATTCCCTTTTTTCACGAGACTCCCCGGCATATGCTTTCTGTGATTCTTTTGTGATCGCCCTTTCTTTTTCAGGATAGCAAGATGACTGAGCTGAACTCAAGCTTGTGCCAATTGAACTGGCTAATTGCCAAAGGTGGAATTGGAGATGTGAATGGTCCGGAGATGTCGTTAGTTCCAGAAAAACAACCAATTCTAGAGGTATGATAAATTAGAAAGAACGATATCAGCTGGGATCAATCTTTCAGAAAAAGCTTTTTTGAGAGCCTATAAATAACTAATTCACGGTCTATTATTGAAATCCAATCATACCAAGTAGTTCTTATAATTAGGTTTGAGGGTGGCACCTGCATCTTGATTTGCATCATTCAATAATTCATTCTGTGACCTGCACCTGTTACGTCAACCCGAAACAATCCCGAATTCCAGGTGGCTTCAGCTCCTCAAATTGCTCCAGGAGTTCGTCGTAAAATTTATGAGGGACCCGACAAGCCACCATATTCCTACTCTCAACTCATTCGTTTTGCCATTGAAGACTCTGTGGACAAAAAGTGCACTTTGGCTGAAATCTATTCGTACATATCGCAAAGTTTCCAGTTTTATCGTGAGAACCGGAATCCCAGTTGGAAGGTACTACTCCGGAAATTAAATAGCCAGAGGATTATTTTTCTTTTCAGAATTCAATTCGACACAATTTATCGTTGAATAAGCAGTTCAACAGAATTGAAAAAAATGATGGAGATAGACGTGAGAAATAGAGAAATTCTTATTAGAAAGTCCTTTAAGTTTTTCAGGTGGATGGTGGGTTTGTGTGGAACCACCAGCAAAGAAGCCACGGATTCTGAAAGGAGATCCAGTTCGTGTCAATCCAATTTACGAGCACTTGTACAACAGTAAGAATCATAGATAGGGTTAAAACCATTTGACATGAGGAATAGAGTGGCCTAACTTTCACATTATTATTTTTCAAAGCCACCATAGTTGATAGTCCAGAAATGGTCTAACATACACCTGATGTGTTTTCTAAGACATTTAGCATGGTTAACTAACTTTTGCAAGTTTCTAGGCCACCAACTTTTATGGCCTAGAAGTTGCCTGATATTTACCTGGCGGGTTCTTTAGGCGATTTTAAAATGGTGGCTTAGCTTTCGCAAGTGGTACTTTAAGCCACCATAGAAAATGCCTCAGAAAACATACAATTTGAATATCGGACCATCACTAGGCCATTTACCATTGTGGCAATTTTCATTTCGGAATTTCAATTTACAAAAGTAAATGTTAGGCCACCAGCTAAAATAGTCTAGAACGCACTATGCCCAGAAAAAATGTGTCTCGAAAAACACACACTGGTTATAACACGACTTCTGTTTTCAGATAAACAACAAGAAGTCCACGAGGTCATTTACTCTCCTGTTCCAGAACAAGTGTATCTTCCGCAAAACGACGAAGAAATCGTTATCCAAGAAACGGAGCTAACGGTATACATAGCTACCAAAATCAAGTTCTAGCTGTTCAAAATTCGATTTCAGGAGCAAGAGATAATGGAACTCAATCTGTTTGAATCATATGATCTGAACTCTTCTTTCCGTGACGTCTACAATCAAATCTTTGAGAAGCCAAAAAGTCCGAATGAGAAGAAACAAGTGAGTTTTCGATTCATAGATCCAACCAAAATTCTACCTTTTCTTTTATTTAATTTTTTAGGCGGCTCAAATTGACTGGTTGAAAATAAGCTTGGAAGCTGCTGGTCTGGATTATCATGATGAGCAAGACCTCAGAGAAATCGACACCGTCAAGCTAAAAGATTACGTTTACAACGGTTTCCCTTCGGAATGCGACAGTGATGCTTCAACTCCAAGAACAGATTTCAGCCGTTCGTTTTTGTTTGATCAAAAATCGAAACTCTAATTTTGTTTTTTTTTTCAGGTCACTCCTCTTCCGATTCATGCGTCTCCAACTCATTGCCAGTTCACGGCGAGGAATCAGACGATGAGACTGACTGGGATACTTTGATCTGAATTTAAAATTTCGATTTCAATATTTTTTTTTCGATTTTTTGTTCTAACGTTACTGTTCTCACATATTTTGTCAAACGGTCACCTTCTCTTAATTTGTTCAAAATTTTGTAACTAGTACAAAATAGATAATACTAATTCAATGAATTATTTTGGGGAACAAACTTTTTACCAAAAAGACAAATGAATGTTCAAGTCAGAAGGAATAAACGGTTCTCCGTTTTTTCTCACATTATTAAATTTGAACCAAAGAAAAAATTTCCGGGAATTCGTGAATTTCGTTACGTTCGAACAACTTCCAGTACCGGTTTTCGAAAATCAGCTCTAACGATATTTAAATACACACTACGGTTTCATGTGAGGAATATATGTAGTGGCCTAACTTTCTTAACATAGTATTACTAGGCCACGAAATACGCTAACATGCACTTGATGTGCTTTCTAGACCATTTAAACACGGTTGCCTAACTTTCACAGGTTGATTTTTCTAGGCCGCTATGGGAAATGTCCTAGAAATCGGCTGATGTTCACTTGGTATATTTTTAGGCCATTTTAACATGTCGGTCTAACTTTTGCCAGTTTAGTTTTCTAGGCTACCAACTTTTAAGGTCCTTCGTTCGTTTGAAAACTGTTCGAACGAAATGTAAAATTTTTTGAACGAATTTTCTAAGTTTTCTTCTAAACTTCGTTTGGAAAATTTTCGGAATTAGCCATTTTCGAAAAAAATATCTCAAATACACACTGATCGTTGCTGGAGGTCTTTTAAGTTTCCTATCTCACCTACCGGACCTTTAAAAAGCCTTGGAAAAGTCTGAATCTCTATCAAAAGGAAACTTGGTCAACTTTGAAAAGAACCTCTGAAGGAAATCAAATAAATAATTAATGATGTCGTATATGAATTCATCGAGCGTCTCCTCCAGAGTCTGGAGTCCAGACACCTGTAACCTTTTCGTTATTTTTAACTGGTCAAACAACCAGAATCTACCGCATGTTTTTGAATTTTTTTTTGTATCTCTATCTACAATTCTAATTCCCCTATAAGTCAAAAATTGTTCATTCCAGGAACTAAGCGAAAATTCACAAGTATGAGAGAAAAACAAGGAAGAAATACAAATTTTATACAAGTACTGTTGGGGAGGAGGGAAACGGCAAAAATCAACATACAAAAAATTAAATAAAAAAGTAGAAAACCGTTTGAACGAACTGTTTTAGAACCGAATTCAAAATACAACACTACACAGAAAGAGGAAAATGAACCTGACAATTGTTTGAATGATAACTGAATTTCTGAATTTCTATACAAAATCGTGAGTCGGGGGATCAGAATGCCGGGACCAGTATGAGCACTAAAAGATGTCTAGGATGAAAAGCGAAGATATGGAAAGCTAAATGAAGCGGGTAAGGTATGCAGAAATTGGATAACAAAAGAGTTATTGTTGTAAAGTTAGTCTTGCCATTCGAAATCCACAATTTTCTTCTTCAAATCAGCGGCCATTTTGGTACCGTAGTCACTGGAACACTTCAGATTGCTCACGTGGTTTCGGCACATCGTCTGCAAGAAAATACATGTAAATGTGGAGTCCATTGAGGCATACAAACCTTTTTGCACTCGTCACAATTTGCACACTCGGCAACACTCTTGCATTCATCGCAGACTGATTGACGCCAACGGATTTTTGATCTAGAAACGCAAAAAAAATTAGTTTTGATGTCATCTTTTTTATTAAACGATTTACCTTTCCTGCTTAAGACAATGTCCATTCATCTGTTCATGTTCCTTGATTTGATTCAAATTCATCGATGTAGAAATGACCGATCCGTATACTTGAGCTGGCAAGTATCGCGAAATTTTGAGTTTAGTGAATACACTGTTTCCTTCCGAAGCGAGTCTTTTGATCAGTTTCTGAACAACTTCTTTTCTGCAGTGATGCTCGAACGCAGCAATCAACATTGTGAGAATTTCATCAGCTCGGAGTACACTGTAATAAAATGGTTTTTATTCTTTTTTCTCTGCAGAAAGATCAGATGATTTGAAACTTGATCAGCAGCAGCTCAGAAAAGGTTTCTAGTTTTCCCACGGCTCGGAAAGAAAAGTGGAAACTCACTCTAAATGCTGACGAATGATGAAGTTCTGGCATGCCTCGATGACTGGATCCACTTGGTATTTGTTGGAGAGACGGAGCACTAGAGCAAAGTTGCTAGCTGAAAATATTAGACTGCAAAAGTTATAATTTGGATAGGAAACCCACAATTGATCATTGACGTATCGTGTACAGCTCTGAGGAAACAATCAATGTCGTTCGATTTCTCGTCCACAATTTCTCTTGACAAATCCATCTTTTCGAAATCTTTTCCAAAACACATTACATTGAAAATCTGAAAACTCAAATAAGTTCTCAAAACTTCTGTGGATAGAAAAATACAGGTGAAATTCGACTCATTGATTCTGCATCAATAAGGAATGTTTCCTTCTGAACGAGTAATTTGAATGGACGATCAATGCTGGAAGAGGATGCGATGAAGCAGTGTGGCTCGTTCTGGAGAACTTCGGCCGCCATTTTTGTGGTGGTTGACACGGATTTTCTGCAAACTTGCACCATTTTTTCTTCCGGTTTCTTTATTTTTTTCTCTAGACTTGAGAAAATGGGCGGGATTTGCCTTCCTTCTGGAAGAAGATAGAGAGAGACGAAACCTGAGAAGGTCTCGATGACGCCAATCGGAGGGTAAGATAATGAATAACAGAATAAGTAACGAGGAGTGCCGGTGTTGGGTAACATTCGTGGAAAAAAAAAGAATGGAAAGGACCGGGCGTTTTGGACTGGTCTTTGACTGCTCAAATTAGCTGGAATTGGATACCAAGTGATGGGAAAAAAGAGAAGGCTGAAATTGAGGGCAATTAGAGGTAATGAATAGATTTAAGACGAGATTCATTTTGCAGCTATATAAAAATGATGATCTCGAAACTATTCATTTTGAATCATCAATTTACCGTAAATAGTTTGATTGAAGCCGACCCAAACCGTCAACTTCAAGCCAATTCATCTCATGTTCTGTAAAAGATATCGAAAAGTAATCAACTACCAAAATCTTTATCAAAATATCAGCAATATTTTATCAATTGACCACTTTTTGATATATTTTACAGGAACATAGATATATGGGTTCAAAGTTGACAAATTAAGGGGGTGGGGGAGAGTTCTACTAGAGGGTTTACGGTAGTCTAGAAATTTCGAGTCTTGAATTTCGAGTCTCAAATCTTCAGAATGAACAAAAACTAGTTGCTTATCGGAATTATTCCAAATGCCAAATAGCGGAACGTAAATGAGATTTGGAGGAGTGACCTTCTAGCGACATCAAGCTGTTGGCCTTCAAGATCGAGAAGAGAACATTTGCAAGAATTTTGCCCGACGTTCAAAATTGTTACACACTACTTTTACGTCTTCAACCTAATCCTCGCAGACAAAATGGAGGTCTACAGGTCGGGAAAAATGATTACCAGAGAGGCGAAGGGCGCCGCGCATTTTGCCTTATTGTTTACTTTTCGCGCCTGTGAGTTTGTGCTGAATTTTAAACAAAATCGACACTGAGGTAAACGATTGAACTTCGAGGGGAAAGAGCACAAATCGTCTGTGAGACTGTAAGGAGGCATAAACAAAAGAAGGAAAAGAGAAATGAATGGATTTTTGACCTTTTGTCATTGTCATCTAATTTCTTTCCCAGAAGAACAGATCATCAAAACACTATAAAAACAAAATAAGAGGTCGGGAAGAAGAACGGAAAATGAGGGAAAAAAGAAAACACTCATTTTATGAAGAAGGGGACAAACAGTACTAGTAGATAAGAGCAAAGAACATAAAGGCTCTTTTTTCGTTGTAAATGTTTGACAACTGAGATTAACACTCAACGGAACACATGACACACACAAAAATGTATGGAAGTAAAATAAATTTATGGAAATTACCTTTTTTGCCGAAAATCACATGTTTTCACATTTTTCGTGTTCCTAGGACCGAAAAATGTTTTGCTGTTCCCCTCTATTTTTTCTAATTTCCGCTTTGTGTTGTACCCAGAAAAAAGGAAGATTCCCACTCTTGGAATGTGTTACTTCCTTTTTTGGGTGAAAGGACATCTTCCTGCCCAATTCTTTTATTCCCGAACAACAACAACGTCATAATTGGATTAGAAAAGGTTTGAATCGAAATTTCAGGCTGTGAAGATAGACAGTTGAGACTTTCCAATCACGAAAAGACAACTGAGAAAGACTTTACAACACAAAAGTTGGGTGGTGCTTTCGGGAAAAAGATTGAGAAGGGAGGAGAAGAAAACGAAGAAGACATGTGTTGTCATTCGAACTTTTTTCAGCTTCCTCAAATGACTCTTGTGATAAGAAAAAAAGATAAATGAAAGTATTTTTTGAAAGGGGGAAGTGAAAAGAGCTAAAACAAGTGGAAAATAAGAAAAAAAGGAGGAGAAATGAATGGAGATTGAGTGAGAAGAACAATGAATCCTAGAAATCTGTGTTTTTGTTTTCTGCTCGATCGACTTCAAGATTGGAGACGCGACGACTCTAGACCCCCACCAAACACGCGATCCACTTGACCATTTGGGACAGAAAAATAGTGATTGCTTCCAAAAATACACATAGTTCAGCCCAAGCTCCTACTTTTTATCTTCTTTTTTTTTTGTTCGTTGCAGCCGCGAGCAGAAAAGTTACTGTCAGGGAAAAAAGACACACATGGAAACCGGCAGGCCTCCGCAGATTCTCGCAGATTTTCTTTTAGAATCTATATTTTTGGACCAACTAAAATAGATGTGATGGAACTTGACGATTACTACAAAATGAAAATAGTTGAAAAACTGTACCTTGTCTATGAACAAAGTTATAAGCCATAGAGTGACTGAGCCGTGTCCTCTTTTTTTCTGCTCGTTTGATCTGTAACTTTGTTCATAAACAAGGCACATGTTTCCAAATAGTATCTTTTTTGTAGTGCTTGTCGAGCTCTATCATACTTAATTAGTTTATCCAGAATTACTGATTCTAAAATAAACTATGGCAAAACCCGTGAAGGTCCAGCAGGGCCCGTTTTGCAAGAATGGAGAAAGGAAGACAAATGGCAAAACAATTATTTTTTTTGCTCGAAAAATTAAAGGAGGAGGAGCCAAACGGAATTGAGACTTACTACTGATCTATATTCGACATACAGCATTTAGAATGGTAAGTTAAGTCACGAGTTACATGCAACTGGAACAAAGCGAACGAAAACATACGGGGGCGTTCACGACCATAAAAATTTGAATGTTGCAGTTAGTGGAGGTTGTTTTGATGTATGTAGTAACGGTAAAATCATGATCTGATTAATTTGAGGAAGTAAATTCAGAACTAGACTGTCTTGATTCGAACTTTTCAGTCTACTGACCCGACAAGTCAGATAAGAAATGAAATGAAATTTGGTGTCTATCTGTTCGAAGCATCTTTATGTTTTAATTGGTCACAAACGAATTAGGTGGCAGAATCGAAACTCCGCCCACATTTTTTATCGGGTGGTTGGCGAGAATAAGAAGAAAAAAAGAGAAAAAGTATCACTTACTTTCGTTTTATAACCTTTTTTGGGGTGATAACTGGTGCCGAGAATGTAGCAGAGATAGGAGGTAGAGTACAAACAAATGAATTATCAGGTAGAATAATTTTGCAGCGAGCAGATGATTGAGATCTGATGAATGAGCAGCTTGTAGTAGCTGAGACTTCTTCAATAGGCTCGAAGATTTCCAGTGGGATTGCTTCGTCGATTCCAAAATCAGAAGAATCATCTTCATCAATATCAGAGAATAATCCTGAATCAGTGAGCTCGACTGGGATGTCTTGAAGTTTGTCGAATGATTGAACAACGATGTCAATGCATGGAAATGATGTAGTTTCTTCCACAATTATTTGAGGAATTTCAACATTTTTGAAAGATTCATCTTGTTCCATTTCCTCCACTTTGTCTAGCACATCACTGAGAACATCAACGACAACTGTGGAAATAAGTTGCCCATCAAATTGGAGTAATTCCGTCGGATCGTCCTCCTTACATTCAATTCGAATTTCCACAAAATCAGCTAGGAAATCCTTTTGACTCGGACTGAGTTCCTCGTTTTGATCGAGGATTTCGATTGGAATTGAACGGAATAAACTGACAATCGGGTCAGTTAGAATTGATAGAAATGAGCGATCATTTGAATCAAAATGATCATGATGAAGATGATGGTGTGGATGCTTCAGATGAGATTGGGATAACACCATCTCGAAGACAGAAATAGGGACAGGGTAGAAGGGGAGAGAAAGCACAATTGGGACGACGGAATGGGATGATGCTTAGGTTGAAAGTTTTTTAGTGGTGGAGGTTGTGTGGATAGATGAGGGGGAAGGGCAAACAGTCAACGGATTGTAGCAGAAAATACGAAGAAATAAGAGAGGATGCATGGGGAAATAGTGTGGATTAGAGAGAGACGCAGAGATAGCTCGCCATGGAAAACCGATTCTTGTGACTCCGTGCTGTCTGCTTTGACACATTTCCGAGAAGAACGTTCTTTCTATTTTTCTGCACAAGGTTGATTGACCAATCAGTTATCTTTCGTTTTTCCCTTTTCAATATTTTTGGTCAAAGATCTTATCAAGTACACAGCATGGAATAGACAGTAAAATCAGATGAGTTTGTACTGACTGTCTACCCTCCCTTCGAAGAGGAATTCATCCCTTCTGATCGTCATCTTGTTCCATTTCCTGACTCATCTTACTCGATTTAAAGGATCAGATCAATTTCATTGAACATCAAATAAACTTCGATAGTGGTTTAATGGTTTTCTTGTTTCACCCCCTCCTTTCCTTGTTCTTGTAGAACACCCCCTCAATTCGGCGGCGGTGAAGAGGAGACCAGAGCTCTCGAAATACATATACTACCAATCTGCTACTACAAGTGTTTTTTTTGTGTGAGATAAAGAGCTTAGGACAGAAAGCCTACTGTACTTTTGGTTAACTTAAGGTTTTTCAAAAGTTCAATTCTATTTAGCTGTTGAGTGCAGCCTGAACTGCTGGTCCAAGAAATCACGTGAATGATGTGATTTTCAAAAAGCAAAGTATTGTGAAATATTTGTGGGTATAGTCACTGCGAAATGGTACACATAGTGTGTGCAGACCTAGATACTCTGTTTTTTGGAGTATTTGTTACTGAGAAGGTTAAAGGTCATTAGAAAAAAAGTGGGGAGAGATTGGAAAATATTTAGCCTCAAATCAATTACCGTAAAACCTGGGATAAATCTACCCCTAACTTTCAACTTCGAGCCAATTTTTCTCAGCTCCTGTCAAAGATATAAAAAGGTTGTCCACGGATGAATTGTTTATCATAATCTCACAAACATTTTCTTAGTAGGCACTTGCATAGAAATCGAGATAACTGAGCTCAAACTTGACCACTTTTATTATACATGTTACAGTAATCAAACTCCAGATTCTACAAATTCCTCAAACGGAATGTTAACTTTTTGAGAACACCAGTTTGCAATAAAGTGTTAGATATAATTCTTATCATTATTACAACTAAACTAGTTCTTCAAGACGAGATGAAGAAATACAAAAAAAGCGAGTGAGAGGAAAGAACAACCTATGGCATAGGGTACGATTTCTTTTCAATGTAAAAATAGGCGTACGTGTATATATGATAAGGATTAGCGAATCAAAGTTTACAAACTTTCACCAGATTATCTTGTTTTTTTTTTCAAAATTGAATGATGTGACTGACAAGTCAGATGAGATGATAAAGAGTACTGTACGACGAAAAGCAAACAATCCGTCGGATGATTTTGAACATCTCAAATGAAATTGACGGGGCATTTGTGAGCCTTTCTACTCGTTATCAGTCAATTCAGTTCCAAATTTTCTAAAATTTTGATTTCCCCGAATTGCCGAACAATGGATGAGAATTGAGGTGGTTAGGAATTGTGTGATAGACACTGATAAAAATTATTGTCCACTTTTTTATTGAAAGATGATAAGCATTCGAAACGGCTAGCAGAAGAAAAGAAAAGCAGTAAAAAGTAATGCAAACAACGACAAAATTGAATGGGAAATGGAGAAGAGAATTAGATGGGAAGTTAGCAGAAATAGAGGATCAAACAAACTGATTTGTGTTTATAGTATGGAACCATGTGCACCTACAACTATATTATAATCAATTAGAATAGACAGACATTCGAAGGGAGGGAATGAATAGAAAATTGAGATGGAGGGAGAATAGAATGAACATAATGATGAATAATAACAGTTTTTATGAGGGGAACAAGTGACCAAACTAGAATGGAAAAAGCTATGTTTGTGGAAACAAAATACAAATTCTTCTTGAGTTCTTATGAAGAAGGACAGAAAAACGATGATAACACTGACTTCAAGAAAGAAGGACAAACATGGTAAATCCTGAAAACTGCAATACCGTAAACTAATAGAACGATTCCGGAGCCATCAACTTTGATCTCATATATCTCATTTATTGAAAAGGATTCCAATAAGTTGCGAACTGACAAGATGTTAATCATAATTTCAATGATATTTTGTCAGTTGACCGCTCTTTGATATATCTTCCAGGAACCAAGATAAATTGGCTCAAAGTTAAAGTTAAGAACGCTAATGTTTACGGTATATGGATCGGGGGTGTTGGTCCAAAAGAAACAAATAAACTTTCACTAGCTTGCAGTTTTATAACAAAAATTTTTTATAACCAAAATTCTCCTATCTTTCCGCAGATTTTTTTATCGCGAAAGTGTTGATATCCTAACATTTCGAACATCCCTACCCTCCTTAAATACAGTTTACTTTGATATCATTTGACCAAGGAATTGTTGAGTCAATGTCAATAAGATGAGCTATCCGCAATAATTTTTTTTCCGAAAAAAACGAATCAACTACAGTATTCTTGGAATTGAATTATGAAACAAAAACATAGCGAATCAGATTGAAATCAAAACATCGTTTTCCCGAAATTCTTCTATCAGGAAGCATCTGTGAACAACAACAAAACAATTTACAGAGAGATAGAGAAGAAAGTGCATGACGCACGAAGCTTCTTTTTTTTCAAAATTGTTTGCCCCTTTGGTCGCCGGCGCTATGAAACAGCTGTCTCTTTTTGTCGATGCGTGTTTCCTTTGAATTTTTGAAAGATATCAATTTGAGGAAGACACGGGGGAAGGTAGACAGACTCCCAGACAGACTGGCGGACAAAATGTCTATGCCAAAAATATATAGAAGAATCTGGTATATTTCCGATCATTTTCGTCATCTTTTCCATGCCAAAAACGGCTTGTTGTTTTCCATCTTTCCTTCTCCCTTTCCCAAGGTTGTTCTCGCTTTACAAAAAAGACAAAAAAGAGAAAAAGAGAGCTGATATCAGTTCGGAGAATCTATTGAACCAAATTGAAGAAAAGTAAGGTGTTTAGAAGACAAGGAAAAACAAGGAGAAGGGCACAAAAGAAGGAGACGAAAATAAGCAACGAAATTGAAAAGCAGCGAAACCCATCGAGGACAATAGGACCCAAAATGTGGAATTCACGTGCTCCTTTGGGTCCATACCAAATGATTCGGGGTCATCAGTGTGAAAACGAGGGGACGGGTCGGAAAGTGTAAAAACAGAAAATTGAGTCGTTGCGATCTTCGGATCACATGTAATCTGATCGAGAGAGAAAAGCAATATTGTATGTTTCGTTTTGTTGATTTCATGTTCCGGCCATAAGAAAAAAGGAGCGTGGCCTATGGTAGCGGGATGAATCATCAGAACAGTATCGCATGAAATATTCTGGAAATTCTTTTTCTTGAGATTCAGATCACATGAGAGGAATAGAGAAGCAAACACATGGTTCGGGGTTCTGAGTCATTTATAACTTAAGGTCGTCTGACCCGAAATAGACTTTATCTATTAAATAAAGATTGCGTCGATGCTTTTTTTCTTGAGATATGGCAAGGGCTAAGCTTTGTGAAAAAAAACCACATAATTAAGTAAAATTGACGGAGTTAGCAGGAAAGATACTGAAGATGAGATGCAAAATTAAAGATATAGTTCGATTTCACATTATTCTGGTACAAAAAATCGAAGCTGTAGACGAGAAACGCTGTTGGTAGGTAACGACAACTACAGTAATCTAAAAAAAAATTTAATTTTCGGGTTTATTATCTCCGACTTTGAAAGTAACAGAAAACTCGACAAACAGCAGCGAAAATCAAGAAAATAAATACGGAAAATAAAAATGATTTCAGGTTACGGTAGCTGTCGTTGTGAGCCCTTCCACGGCCACCTCCTTTTTCTTTTCCACAGCTCCGTGCTTTATACAAGAACAATATCAAATTGATTCTTTAATGAGGTTGGCATATCAGATGATACGAATTTTTAAAATTCCGCTGCCACTTTCTGAACCAATCTAAAAAGTCACCTCAGTTGGCTTTGTATTAGACGGGCAGTGTTATATTACAGTTTTTCCGGTATAAACCGAATCTAATTGTTTTATGGGGAACATAATTCAACGTTTATGCGATTCGTTCCTAATTCCAACATTTGCTTATGGAAAAGTCAGCATATAACAAGTAGTGATTTTCAAAAGTTTTGATTTTGGGAAAAATATTCAGAAAGTGTTAATATTTTTGTTATATTTGTTGAAAAAACACGTTGCTCCCAAAAACTTAACGGCCCATCTTTTGGGAGATTCAAAAGATTCATGTGGCTCACAAAAATTTTTGAAATTTCAGTACTTTGATATGAAAATTAAAACTTTTGAAATTCACTACTTGTTATATACTGCCCAAAAAACTCAGAAAGTCTAGTTTCGTTGAATTCCAGCTCTTTGAATGCCAATTTTCAAAGCCCTTCTGAATACAGCTGAAAACGCCAAAATTCGGACTGAAAAGGAACATGACAATGCTTTATTTTCTATCAGGACCCGAGAAAATTGTACTTTAGAAAGCCCAACTCTTCCTAAAGAACTTTCGGAGCACAGATCCTGTTCACAAGAAAAGAAAGCAACGATTTCCTCAACTCGGCTCGTTTTCAATTCAAACTATTTTTTTTTTCTGCAAACACAAAAAGGAAATCGAATGCAGAGTTGCTCGAAAATTAATTGAAAAGTCCTATTTACGGGTGAGGGGGCTCTTGTCGTTCATAGAATGCAAAAACCAAGGTTTTTTGCTTTCTAGAAAACAAGCCATCTTAAGAGAATTCTGAAGACGTCAAATTGATAACGGGAGTCTGGCACGCGATTTTGAAAAATATACATTTCAAAACTCACTTTTTCTTGGTGAACATCCAACTGGATCTCTACTTCAAGAATTTTTTTCCGGTAACAAGTCGAAACAACCCGAACGAAATTCAAATTCCGTGCCAACACTCCATTTTTTTCTCGTTCTTCTTCTTTTTCTTCAGAAGACCCTTCTTCCTTTTTTGGGTGCCCCCGGAAGAAACGAAGACTAGGGCATGAGCACTCACTTGCACACAGAATACGTTATATGGAGATGTATTTTTTTGCAACACAAGAAGAAGAAGAAGAAGAAAATAGAAAACGAAATATTGTAGAAGGACAAAAAAGACTCTCGGAGAGCTGGTCGGCAAACCACTTTTTTTCGGGAACAAGAAATAACATGAGGAGGAGCAAGAAACGATTAAAACTGGCCCAGAGAGTCTGTGCTCTTCAAAACGAAACAACACAACGACTTTTTCTGTTTGCTTCTTCTCAAGCAACGCCTTCTGATGATATCATCCCTCGGCGGAAGACGACGGAGATGGATGGGATTGTCACGCGGAGGAGGAGGAAGAAACGGAACGAAGAAGAAGAAGAAGAAGCAGAATTAACTGAAATCACTGATCTTGTCTTTAGTCTTTATTCTGCAAAATATGTGTGTTGTCGTGCAGAACATAATTTGCAGAAACATTCATTCTTTTAGATTCTTTTTTTTGGTTCCAGAAGATAGCTACACGGATATACAGCAACAAGTTTAGAGGAGAGTACGGAAACAAAAAACTACAAAAAAATATTTAAAAAATTAGTCTGAAGATTCTGACTTCCTTCTCGAAAATCCCATCACTTTTGCGCGGCCACGACGAATGACAAACTGAAAAATAGAAAGGATCAAAAATAAGCAACGACAGAATCTTAAAGGATTTAGAAATCAGGAAGTGGAATCAGGAAAGAAGGAACTCACACCAACATTGACATGTTCTGAATTCTCTCCTGAATCTTTCTTCGGAATGAATGAAGTTGGTGGACGAAAGCCTGGAGGTCTCGCGACTGGAATACTCATTTCTGGTAGTGGATCCAGTGGAGCAGCTACCACAGATGGAGGTGTTGGACCATCTTCACCACCAACGACTCCAGAGTTCAGAACGGGTGCAGCATCAGACGACGTCAGCGCTTCCGGTGATTCAAAGTCTCCAGACTCTGGAAGATCTCCAAGAGGCGAGGAAAGATGAATAAGAACTGATAGAAGAATAATCGAAATTGAAATTTTCATCGAACCTGAAAATCAAATCGAAAACTTTGATACAACTAGAAAATTACGGAAATAATGAAACGGTTTTTCGGTACAAGAGTGAAGATTGCGGTATGTTGTTGGCATTTAGTGAAGTGGTAAACGAAGGCTTTGTTGTCGGGGGAAAAGTGAAGGTCAATCGAGCGTCTGTATGACCAGCGGCGAGATGTGGAAAAGGCGGGAAAAGGAAATAAAATCGAGAATGGCAAGATGTAAAAAGATCAAATTGAATTGGAACGAGAAAATGGGGAACTTTTGGGTTGGTGGGAACTGAACACTATCGTATTGAGAGGGAGTATTGTTTGCATTAATGGGAACCACTTGGGAAATTTGAAAACCAAAAAAGACAACGGTAAGAAAAACGATATTAGGGATGATTACAGATTCTTCCAAAGATATGTCAGATATCATCTAAATGAACCAGCAAAAAATATTCCTGAATTTCTCTAAAGATGTACGGTGAAATTTCGTCTTACTTCTCAATAGAAACTTATGTATTTAGGATCACAAGAAAATAATCGGCTAAATAAAAAAGTAAAAAATGGTTGAAATTTTGAGAAATCTAGATGAATAATGACTGGAAATATTCCCGGAAAATAATTTCGAGAAAATTCCCGGAAAAAAACGAGAAAATTCCGGTTGGAAAAAATTCCCGAACATTTTCGGGAAAACCGAGATAACGGGATTCCCGATTTCCAGATTCGAACAAATCTGGTAACGAGCTCGTTTTCTAGCCTCCGCAGCCGAGGCCAGAAAAATGTTATCTTGATTTTTAGTGTTTTTTTGAATCATTTAAACTTTTTCAGGTATTTCGAAATATTCTGGAGAAAAGAAAAAAACCGTTTATTTTAATCCAAATTAAATTTTTCAGAAAAAAAGTGAGAATCAGAAAACATGTATAGTATACAAAAGAAGCTTTAAAACATTGAATCAAAGAATGATACAAATCCACGAACAAAGAATAGAAATCGAATGACAAAAGTAATGCAGGAAGAAGCGGGGTAAGAGTAGTTATAACTGACAAGAAATTTTGAGAAATTAGATCTTAATTTAACTCTCTGCCCATTGAATAGAATTTGCAGTGTCAACTTATTTGAAACCGACCTTGACCATAGGACACAAACTATTTGAACCATTTTCAGACATTCGGCAGTTCCGTTTTTTCCTTTGGCTGTGGTGGCGGCTTCAGAAGTTCAGCAAGGCTTTCGAAGAAGGATTTCTCTTTTCCAAGACCTCCCTGAAAAAACAACAAATCAAATCTAGAGTTTCAATCCTCAACATCTCAAAACCTCATTTAAATAAGCCAAAGGGGAAAAGAAGAAAGATGAGAGAAAGATGAGAAAAAATATCAAAGTAGTCGACGAATTTGAATAAGATTCGCCACTTTTTTCTCAACAACTCACCACCAATTTTTTGTCATTCAGTGTCACATTTTGTCCAAAGTCGATTCCAGTCTTCTCGTCCACTCCAATCGAACCACTACCTCCGTAGGTTGATCCATTCAGAATCGCTTCATCGGTTTCTGAAAAAAAGAAGGGTCTTCAGTAATCTTGTATAAGAATTTTTGGAAAAGAGTTGCCTGATTTTCCCAACGTGATTTTTCTAGGCCACAATAGTTGATGGTCTCGAAATCGTCAAACATGCATCTGATGTGATTTCTAGGCTATTTTCCAGGGTGGCCTAACTTTCTCAAGTTGAGTTTTCTAGGCCATCTTGGTAAATTGTCTAGTGATAGCCTGATGTTCACATGGCGTGTTACCTAGGTCATTCTACATGGTGGCCTAAAAACTCAACTCGCGAAATTTAGGCCACCATGCCAAAATGGAAAAGAAAACACATTAGGAGCATATTAGACCATTTCTGAACAGATAACTACGGTGGCCTAGAAATATCATGTTGAGAAAGTTAGGCCACTCTATTCTTCACATGAAACCAGAGTTTCTAATGATCCCATGGAGATGTGATATTCTTTGAACGTTAACTCCTGAAGTCCAAAAACTAGTTGATTGATTCCATTCATGTTTTTTTTTCTTGAATAAAAGTTCTCGGAAGACTGATAGTTTGTTTATAAAAAAATCGATTTTTTATGAAGTTCCTAGAATCATTCTAAACTCTCCTCTTTAAAAAGGCATTTTTATCTCAAGAATATCTAGAAAAGCTCTCTCAGTATTTTTTTTTTCATTGTCAGATTCGATTTTTCACGGATGAGAAGATAGGAAGAAACAGAAACAAAAAAGTGATCCAGAATTTCACTTAGTTTGTATAACATTTCTTTTTGTTCCTATCTCTTTTTCCGAAGAATAATGTATGAATGGCTCATTGTAGTGAAGCTTATGAGCCAGAAAAGAAGGAACGAGAGTCACTTCGACGCTTGAATGCATTTCGAATTTCTATACTCATTTGTCCTCATTCTCATATTTTTTTTCGAAAAAATTATGATTTCTTTTACTCACTATCTAATTTGAATGTTCCGTTTCCAGTCGTCAATTTGAAATCTCGGTTTGCTCCCCAGCCAAGGAAATTGAAGTTTTGAGTTCCGCCAATTTCCAGCTAAAAGCTTTTCTTTTTTTTTGAATTCCTTTTTATTTTTCCTACCTCTCCTTTTTCATTTTTATTCAACGAAATTCCACCGAAAGGCAATGGAATATTGAATTGTGCTGGAATTACAGTCAAAATAATAGAGACGATCAGAGCGTGACGAATAATGGACATGATGAGATGATTGGTGGAGTAAGTGAGGGATGAGACTGTTCGATCCAAAACAGGATGGATTCCTTTTGTTTCTCTGGGTTCTCTTATTCTTAAGTTATCTCTTGCATAGAGTGTTCTCGATTAATAATCATCGAAAGGTGGTCATTTGGATGGATTAGAAGGGCATGATAGATCAAGAGAGATAGTGTGAATTCGCTCTACTGGGCTTACCGAGAAAACAATAAAACATGTCTAGGATTAAAATACAAGGGAGTTTGGAAAGAAAGTAATAAAAGTCGAAATATCTTCCTTATAAATAAAACGCTAGAGGCGTCTGTTCGTCCCGGTGTCAGTCTGTAAACTTTTGAAAAGATTGAAAAATAAATATAGATTTACGTGACCCTTTAAGAATAATTGAGGTGCTGAGCTACGAATCAGTAAAACACTAGATTGATTCGCGCCGAAGGCGCACCAGCTTGCTGGTGTTCTAAATAATATTGTTAGATTCGGTAAAATAAATCGTAAGAAGTTATGCTCTTTTTTTCATGAGTTTGGGTCGGACTCCTGGACAAGGAATTGACAAGGGTTCGGAAACAATGATGGAAAAAAAACTAAAACATGTCCCCAGTTTTTCTACTGACATAGTTTTTTGAAACAAATGTGCAATACTGTGCTTTCATTATTATTCTTGGCCGGTTCGGTGAACCCTGTAGTCGAACATTTTTTAAAAGGCGCATCGTCGGTCCTGGAACGAAAACAGGGACATTTTTTGAATAAATGAATGCACTTCCGATACCGTATCACAAAATTAATTTACTTTGACCGACTTTTGTCAGTTTTTCTACTTTATATTAAAAATCAGCCGATCATTTTTAATAATCCATATAATTTCGATACAGTATCGAAGGCGCATTTTTTCAGATTTTTTATCTGACAAATTTTCATTGTGTTCGCTTCAGGATTGACGACTTTAAATACAACTTCGGCCCCTGAGGCGATGTAAAAATTTTAATCTATACTTTAAAAATAATTGGGAAATGAGATGGAGGCCTAATTAAGCTATGATATCGTTCATATTTTTGGTTGGTTTAGAAAAAAATCAAAGAGGAACGAAATCTTCGAATTACTGTCTCCATTTTTCATTCTAAACAATATACAGTAACCTTATGAATCATTTTCAGCTATATTTACAGACAAGTAGATCTAATAGCTGGAATTTCGTTTTTCTCTGGTTTGAGTACAAGGAAAAGCCCGGCGACACATCGTAAACTGCTTGTCGAATCTTTAACAGCTGGTGCCACATAAATGAAATGTCGTTCTTTTCTACTTTCTGTCTCTTTTCCCTCAATTTCGCTTCCGACAAAATCTGAGAATTGTTCGCAAAAAAAACTTGAAACAGGTGTCTTTCCCGTCGATCATTAGTTTATTTCTAATCCGTTCCCTTTGCTCCTATCTGCCTGTTGCTCGCCAGATCTTTTCTCTGCGTCTCCTTCTCCTATACAGTCCGTCATTTCTTGAAGATGAGTGGACGTAGTAGTGAGAAGATCAGGGGAAGAGAAACTAGAGACATTGACAGATGAGACGATGATGATACACAACGTGGAAAGGAAACGGGTCAGCCAGGAGGGTTAGAAAGAAATGCTCCCGCTCTTCGGGTTTCAATTATCACCTTTCCTCCCATCTCTTCGGTCGAAAAAGTTTCGATTCATCCCAAGAGAGTCTCTTTCAACCCCCCCTTTCTCCTCATTATGCTAATGTATCATCCCCACTTTAGGTGTCACGACCATCATGTTTACGGTAGCAACAATAGAAGAAGTGGGGTCACATTTTGATGTGAAGGTCATTTTGATGACATGTCCCATACTTCCGGAAACCTAGATCCTCATCTTGATAGTTCTGTATTTTTCAGACAACTTAGAAAACAGTTTTGGTTGAAATATTATTTTTCGGATTCAATTCAAATTGGAAATATATCTAAACTTGAGTTTAGTCCCAATCAATTACTTTCGTCGGTTCCTTATGGTTAGAAGTTTTTTGGTTGATTTTTTGTTCTCATTTTTCGCTCTTCGTAATTTTAATCCGACTAAAGCGAATTTTTCGGGAAACGATTTCGGATATTTTGTAACACATATTCACAAAATTAACTTTGAATTTTCAAACTATTCGTTTTTCATATTTTAATAGTGAATAGAAAACGGAAGCGAACACAAAAGATGTTCATACAACCCGCAAGACTCTTTGTATAAGTTTTTCATAATACTTCTTTTTGAAATCAAAAAATTCCTTTTTTGCTCCATCATAACTATTTTTGTTGAATTCCAGGCCACCCACCCGGCCAGGCCTGCCAAAAATTTTTGAAATTTCCGGTCCGTGAGAAGTATGACTAAAAGTGATTCATGATTTCGAGTTCCTAACTTATTAAAAATTATTTTTTGGTGCTGAATATTTAACCTTATTTGATTGTTTATTTGATCTCCGGCTGGGCGAAACCAAACCTACTCAAATAAACTTTTATACTCCTTTTTTCTTGGTTCACTAGACATTATTTCTTTTCCTTTACGAAAATTCCCATAATACTCTCTTTAATTAATTCATAACCTCTTTTCGGGACCCTCATTATATTTTTACATATTTCGTATTAGTTTGAGAGTAGATTTCTTCCCCTCCTTTTTCTATCTCTTTTTCTTTCTCTATCCCTAAGGGTAAATCCCCTTGAAACTGTTTATTTTTCATTGAGAATTGGATGGAAAAGAGCACTAAGTGCACTAGTCTCAGAGTGTTTTTCATTCCCAACCATATGGTTGCAAAATTCAAACTCTGTTTCAGATAATGAGGTGACGAAAAAGTATGGCAAAGTTTTCAACGAGATGTGTTATTGCTTGTCTACTGACAATTGTAATGTGTGTGCTACAGTATGATCTATTTTTTTGGAATTTCAAATTCAAGTGGTGGTTTGATAGAGATCAGAAGGTTCCGAATAGTTTTGATAAAAAGTGAGTTCTTGTTTTTAAATTCATTTTTAAATTTTAAATTTTCTAATTTTAAGTTTTCTAATTTTAAATTTTGAGAATACAGTCGAGTTGTTAAACCAAGAAATTACCAGAATTTCTTGGTTTTCGATTTCGTTAGTTTTTTTTTCAATAATTTCAGGTTTCCATCTGCATTGATAATTGGAGTTCGAAAAGGAGGTACTCGAGCACTTCTCGATGCGATTGCTCTTCACCCGAAAGTCAAAATAGTTCGAAGAGAAACTCATTTCTTCGACTCAAACTACTCTCTTGGATTCGACTGGTATCGCAATCAGATGCCTGATATAGAGAATGAAGACGAGGTTTTTTTGTCAAAGATTGTTGAGCCATTTTTCTGAACAACCCATTTTCAGATTGTCATCGAAAAGACGCCAGCCTACTTCACGAATGAGAATGTTCCTAAAAGAGTTTACGAAATGAATCCCAATATGAAATTGGTTCTGATCGTTCGTCATCCGGTTTACAGAACTGTCAGCGATTTCACACAGGTATTCGCTCGAAAAGTCTTTGAATTACCTTTGAAATTTCGTTGCAGGTATACTATAACAAATTGGAACAGAACAAGTCCCTTCCAGTTTTGTCGATCGAGGCGTTCAGAACAAATGAAGCTGGCCTTGAGACTATCAATATGGAATATAAGCCGATAACCAATTCTCTTTACGATGTTCATATTTCGAAATGGCTCAAATATTTTAAAACTGATAATTTTTTATTTGTGAATGGAGATGTGTTCCGAGCAAATCCACTTCATGAGGTATCAGTTCGTTTATTGAATTTTTCGTAATACTCAAATTTTCAGTTACGGCGAGTTGAAGAATTTCTTGGACTGGAAAGGTCAATAACACCGAATCAGTTGGTTTTTGATTACAATAAAGGATTCTTTTGCTTCCGAAAAACGACGAAGATTCGGTGTTTGGGGCAATCTAAAGGTATTAAATTTCCAGGTTTTTTGAATTATGTTTACAACTACAGTAACCAAAAAAAGTTTTTATGGTTTTATCTCTGCAGGCCCCTCCTATTTTTCCCGCTACTTTTTTTTCAAAAATTTTCCTTAAAAATTCTTTAAAATCTTATTCAAATCTCATTAAATACAGGTTTCACGGTATCTTATATTTGAACTATTTTTTAGGGAGAAAACATCGATCCATCAGCGATGATGTCGTTCTGAAGCTGTCAAAAACGTTCGAAGACCACAATCAAAACTTTTTCCGGATAATCAATCAAACTTATTCTTGGGATTAGCCCATTTCCTTTCTTCATAGCTCCTTCTCAGTTTCCCAGTGAAATCATTCGAATTACGGGTTATTTTTCTCCATGTGTGCCTTGGTTCTGCTTGATTCAATAATGAACATTTCAACTTGTCTGTACATACTTCACAAAATCAAATCCCAGGAATTTGGGGAAGTCTTCACTGCAAAAACAATCGAATTCGGATTTTTCCTCCCCTGAATCTCTTTTGTATCCTTTCATTTTACTTTTCTGGTTTTCAACTGCTTCTTCTGGATTCCCTGGCACCTGTTTTCTCAACATTTCTTGCTTCTGAATTTCTCCGGAATTCTGTTACAATGTCGTAAAAACCAATTGCACAAGAGGAACAAGAAAAATAATTGTGTGAAACAGAAGCAGAAGAAACGAATACATGTTAACTTTGATGTGCGTCTTATGTTTATGGTTCTGTTCATTCTAACGATGTTGTCGAGAAAAAAGAATGGATTGGGAAAAAATGAAAAAGATGCCGATGTGAACAGATCGTTGTGTTTATGAATATTCAGGATTTAGAGGATTTTGCAGAATCAAATTTTATAAATCCTTTTCATTTCGAGCACTGCGAGGGTGTTCTTAATGGGTTGGCATCTACTCATCTATTTTTTCCTCCTTGAAGATATTTCAATTTTCGGAATGACTTCTGAGAATATCGTGGGCTCTCACTTCATATTTTGCACGAATTCTTCGGATCTCATAGGAAATTTGGGCATGTCAAGAGATCTAAGTGGTTCACAGTTATTAGACAAGTTGTCGGTATCTAGGCAACATGGCTAAAGTTTGACATATTTCTAGTCTCACAGTCTTCAGGGGGGGGGGGGGGCAATTACCCAGACTGATAAAAATGTGTATATCTTTAGACATAAATATCTTGGAAATGCGAAAATTGATAGAATTATAATTTTACGTTTGATTCAAATCCGCAAAAAATTTCACAGCAGTTCCTCAAGTCTAGGTATTGTTATGATTGTTCAAAGGTGAACGGCGTAATGTTTCTTTCACGCCGTTGTGATTTTCATGAGATCAAGCAACTTTTACAAACGATAACTCAGCTCAAAGTTGACCAAATATTTTGAAATTTTGTCAGTTTACTGATGACTTATTTGAATTTTTGCACTCCGAATTTTGGCCTAGTAAAACGGTTTATTGACATTTTATGACAGTTCAAACTTTGGGTAATCTGTTCAACTCTGGAAAACCCTGCCAAGGAATCCCCTTAAGATCTCTTGGAATTCCGTTAGATTAATTGTCGTCCAGAACAATGATTGGTAAGTTATTTGAAGATGTTTAAGAATACTCAAAATTCCAAGATCCCTTCCTTTTCGGAATATGTCTTTTAAGTTTACAAGACAAATTTAGAACGTAAGCGTCACTTCCTAGTTTGACCTAGTAGCACTGATGGTTTCTAAATGGACTGATTGGGTTCCGGTTTTCTGCAGAAGTCGGTTCGGCATCCGGCTAACACTGGTTCCCAAATATTGGACAGAAAACTGACTTCCTTCGATTTCACTTTTTTTTTTTGAAATCAGAAATTTGTCAGAAGATCCTAAAAGCCGCAAGTGGTAAGAAAGGAGATACTTAACATGTTCGATAGGAAAATTCAATTGGTTTTCTCAAATGGTGAGAAGATTTGTTGAAATGTAGTTGAAAACATACACAAGAACTCGCCTTGCAGATGTCACAAAAAGCGATTGGGAACCTTTGAATGAAGTCATAAAAACTCATAGAGACTCTCTCCAATCCTCTCGTTCCGTGTCGACGACAACGCCTCTTCCAGAGGCTCGTCTTCTGCGGTTTTCTTCCCCCATCTCAAAATCACATCACATTCAAAACGCGCGTGTCGTTTTGTCATCTCACTCGTTTCTTTCGTCTTCTCCTGTGTTTAGGAGCACAAAAAGAAAAGCCCGCCTCTATCCAAATGTTCAGAATTAGTCTTCGTCGTCGTCGTCGTTGGGGTATCTGTGGCATATGTTTTCGATATCTCTGAATGCCAGGATACTTTTGAAATGAAGAGATATCTGCCCTCATTTTTCTCTCGCTTCTAACATCCATTTCTTCTGGACATCTATCGGTTTTTGACCGATCATGACAATGTTCGAGAAAACGTTCTAGTCTATATCGCCCCAAAAATACATTTGAAATCATAACGGACAATGAGACAAAAATTGTTCTGGAAAACAAAATAATTTCCCTTTTTTTTGCTGTCATTGAGATTTTAATGGTAGAGCTGAAAGTTTTCGTAAAAATGTCAAATCGTAGCTTTAAGAAAAATGGCTTTGTTTGTTCTTGAAATCTATTGTTATTCTGGAAAAATTCATATTCGAGAAATGTGTTTTTTTTTGTATCTAGGTGAATTCTTTGGATATCCGTCAGACTGATGCCTATCTAGTTTGTTGTCAAGTGCTTCTTTTCCGTTAAAGTATGTTGAGATATCTACCGTACACACTAAAAGAAATTAACCCTATACGTTCACTTTGAGCTCAATTATCTCGGTTCTTATAAGAGATATCAAGAATCTGTCAACTGACAAAATATTGGTGTTGTTTTAATAAATAATTTATTAGTTGAACGATTTTTAATGTCTCTCATAAGAACCGAGATAATTTATTTAGGATCTGGCAAAACCTTGATTCACCCTGTTTGAAAAAAAGACTTAGGCCAAGATTCTCATTAATGAAAAGATTTCAGAAATATCTGAAAAAACTGGATAAGGTTTTACCTCAAAAATTTCGATTCCTGTGAAAAATATCAAAAATGTGTCAACTGATAAAATAATGTGATATTAAGATAAACGTTATATCAGTTGACTCATTTTTGATATCTTTCACAAGAATCGAGATGATTTAGCTTAAAGTTGGCGGTTTGGGTGCACTTCTATTAGAGGAAATACAATATAATAATCTTTTTACAGCTTCTCTGCTGTCAAAATTCGAAACTTTTCCAAATTTTCAACTCCTTCAAATTCTCATAAATTTTCATCCAAAGAATACCCCCAGTTGCACCGAGACTGCTTGAATAAAAAAACCGAGCAAAAAACAGAAAACAAACGAGGCTTGCTCTGCAACCAATTAAAATCGGGGGTCGATGCTTGCAATCAAGCATTCTCATTCTTCCGATAGAGTACAATCTCTTCCGTTCATTTTTCTTTTCTTTTGTCCTTCCTCGTACTTAATTTTGAACTTCCTTTTTTCTTATCCTCTCAACTTGTCAAAATCAATCTTTCCTTCCTTTTTTTGCAGTCTGCACTTCCAGATTCCTTGTTATAAATCGTTCTCAAACGTTTAGAAACTCTTTCATTCTCTCTATTTCTACCTCAAACTCCTACTCGTTTCTCAAATTGAACCTTGTTCTTCTCCCTCTGGGGATTACTATCACACCGTCCTCACTCTCCCATTTTTTAAGAAACTAGAAAAAAATAGTGGATGGAAAAAAGGAAAGATGAAAGAATAAGATTCTGGAGACAGATGTCATATTCGAATGGGAGCTGCCGGAGGCGCCCGGAAGACAATGTCATGTCACACGACTCTTTTCATAAAAAGGGCACCATTTTGATTCCTTCTTCTATCGTATATACATAATCTTGGAACTTTTACATTTTTTGCGAACATTTGCCTCCCAAAAGTCCCAATGGAACATTTTTCTCATATTGTTTTTTTTTTGGTTTGGCAACGCCCCTCTACTCCCTCTCTTTTCAGTTTTTGAAGGCAAAACCAGTTAGGATAGAGCCGCTTTTTTTAGACCTCCTCTTGTCTATTTTCCCATGGAAAAAGTCATATTTCCTTTCTTCGTCTAGATGTCAACTAATCTGCCAGTCAAAGATATCCCTTTGCCGGTTACTTATTGATTCCAAGTTCAGATAGAAATGCGGAATTCGCTACATCTTCCACTCTTGGTATGGTTCTTGAGTGAACAAATTTTCGCCGACTTCAACAGTTATGTAGTACCGCAGCCTCATGCACATGTAAGTTTTGAAAAAAAATCTGAATTCCACAAAGGAACCTGTAATAGAACGACCCCAACATAGTTCAGTTTGAGCCGATTTAGCTCGGTTTCTATCAAAGATATCAAAAAGTGGTCAATTGACAGAACATTTCTGATATTATGATAAACAATTCACCAGTTGATAACTTTTTCATATCTTTCACAGAAACCGAGATATATTGGCTCATAGTTAAAGCTCAAAAGCAGTTTTTTTTCAGAAAAAACATATATCAGAAAAAGCATATTTGAAAACCCTACGAGCGATTTGTTTTTGTAGTCTGAAATTCATATATTCGCCTGTATTACCACGGTTTTCAAATGGCCGGATTCGAAATGACTGGTTTCAAAGTGTCGCGGTTTCGAAGATATGCGGAGCCAAAGTTAACGGTTGGAGGGCCCTTCTATTGCTGGTTTTACAGCATTCTCAAATTACATTTAAAAACTGATAAAAGATAAGAAAATGATTCAACTATAGTTCAGTTTCCAAAGAGTTCAAAGTCAAAACTCTGTCTGCCATTCCCATTTTTTTCTCCGCCAAAAACTCTTCCATGAACTTTTCACTCCTCCAAACAAGTACCAAAAATAGTCATTCGAAATGTTTGATTTATGTGAGTCTCTCTTTTCTCTGCAGCGTGACCATCGACAGGACATCAGCCAACACTACGACTACTTAATGAGGGAAAATGACGAACCGTTAGGGAGAGGCGCTGCTCCGAACAAAGTACAGATTGGTAGGGGGACTTTTAGATCATAGATGCTTTATAGGGAATATTTAGGCTCTATGGTCAAGCCCCACATCGGCCGGAAATGACCGAATTGGAGAACTTTGTTCAGTCAAATACAGAATCAGTGTTCAGTTCAGGGTTAGTGGTTTGCAGTATCCTAGGTCATTGTTAACCAATACAATTACAAATTTACTAAAATGGAAATTAACCAATTATACCATTTCAGAGGCGTCGATTCCTATGGGTATTTTATTTTTCATAATTTTTCAAACCCCTCTCTAACACTTTTGAGTTGAGTTTGGTTTGGTATAACAGCACGGCTTCTTGTTATTCGCTTTTTATGCATCCTTTTAGATCCGCAATTTCGATATTTTAACATGAAGAATTTGCTGAATTTCAGTGAAACTCGAGACTTTCTTCAATTTCTTCGACGGATTCAGTACGATCATCGACAGGTTCCAGAGAATGATAAAGGAGGTGAAACAAATCTTAAAATCAGATTCTGATTCCAGGGATTTGAACGTACTGTTTTCAGAAGCTACCTACGTTGAAGTGTCAGTAGTGGTTAGCAATATTCGAGCAGTTTCTGAAGTTACTATGGTATTTCGTAATTTCTTTGCATCCTTCTAAAATTTTTCTGTTTCCCGGACTACGCTCTGGAACTGTTCTATCGCGAACTTGGCGTGATCCTCGTCTTCGGTACGATCGGAAGTTGTTCAAAAACAAAACGGAACTGGCTCTACATGAAAGTTACACCAATTTTCTATGGTTGGTTTTTTGGGTCAAATCATAATCAGAGAGTAATGCAAGCGGAAACAATTGGTTTTAGGTTCCCCGACACGTTTGTTCCCAATGCGATTGCCTCAAAAAACCCGCAACGGAACTCGATTTCGCACCGAAGTTTGTTGAGATTAGATGAGACCGGGAAGTTACTTTACAGCCGACGAATATCGCTTGTTTGTGAATGCAGTTAGTTGTTTTATGGACCAAAAAATAGAAAGGAAGTTTTTGTGAATTTTCAGCGATGGACCTAACACTTTTCCCCTTCGATAAACAACTCTGCAAACTTGGAATCGAGAGTTGTAAGTAATAGGACTACAGGAAGGCGCGTAATAACCCGAATTGATAAAAAATGGTATATCTTTAGGCTCCACGTCACTTCTAAGGGTTTTCAAATATGATTTTTCTGATAGAACACATTCTGAAAATAGGAAAATTTAAGAATTTTTCGAATTTTGAGAACATCTAATTTTGGATTTTTTCGAATTTCATTTAGTGTTCTATCAGAAAAAGCATATTTGAAAACCCTAAAGTTGTTTTTGTAGTCTGAAATTTATCCATTCGCCTCCTTACCACGATTTCGAAATGCTGGTTTCGAAGTGACGCGGAGCCTATCTTTAGAAATAAGTATCTTGGAAGAAATAAAATTGGTAGAATTATAATTTTTCGTTTGATTCAAATCGCCTATATTTTCAAAGCGATTACTCAAGTCTATGTATTTTTATGATCTTGGTCAGTTTACTGTTGAACTATTTTAATTTTGACACCCAAATTTGAACCCAGTACAACGTTTCACTCAAATGTTGTGCTAGAACAAACTTTTGTGCGGGTAATTATGCGCCACACTGTAGAACAAGAGGGATTTGCTAACATTTAAAAGGAAAATAATTCGGAGGATACAAAAATTTAGGGGTCATTGGGGTACTAAGCAATTTAGGGGTACAAAATCATCAATTCNANGGTACAAAACACCGAAAAAAGGCTTAGATTGTACCCCCGAATTGTGGATTTTGTACCCCTAAATTACTTTGTACCCCCTTGTACCCCCGAATTGTTGTACCCTCCGAATTATGTGCCATTCAAAATTTCAGATGGCTACACGGCCGACCATGTTGTATATAAGTGGTCGAAAGGAGCAAGGACAGCATTGGAGCTGAAGAAAATCAGATTACCAGACTTTACGATCCAGGAAGCTTATGTGACAAGTCAAATGGAAAGTTATGCGACCGGTAAAACCTTAAATTTCAAAAAATATAAAGGCTATTTGATTTTCAGGAAACTATTCTCGACTCTATGTCTGTTTCGTATTTTCTCGTTCTTCTGGATTCTGTTTTCTACAATTGATCATTCCGTCAACAGCTGTTGTTATCACCTCTTGGGTATCCTTATGGATGGAAACAGAAACTGAGTTTCAGGTTTTTTTTCTTTTTTTTCCTATGGCCTTGAAACTCTAATTTTCAGGACATGATCTCCATTATCCTAGCTATCACTTTCCTAATTTTCTCCTACAACGAAATGATGCCACGTGTCAGTTACATAAAAGCAATGGACATCTATCTGGGTGTATGTTTCATGATAGTTTTTCTCTCACTGATTAAATTGGCCCTTGTGAAATATATGCGACAGAAAATCATGTTGACGTGAGTAACACTTATTCCGAGATGTGCCACAGAAGACGTCGAAATTCAGAAGCGATAGCGGGAACTCTCTTCATGAAATGTCACAAATGTCAACGAGACAGCGACTCCGAGCAAAGAAAACATCAAGCATGAACTTCCGGAACAACGGAGGTTTTCAAAAACAAATGATTTTACAGTTCAGAAAACAAAAATATGTATATTCAGAAGCATCAAATCCAGAGGAGAACCAGCACATGCTGACAGTTCCCAATGGAGCGAACGGAACGAATGGAGCACTGGCTGGAGAAGAAAAGGAAGCAAATAATAACAGTCAGTTTTCTGGAGATGGGACAATTTACAGTACCGGTTCATAAGATGAACAGAAATTTTCGGTTGACTTTCGGTCATTTTGACCATTTTCAGGAGTCTAGAGCTCGACTGCTACGTGGCAGCTCTCTTTGAAAATTTCGGAGGGTTTGAAACAAACCTAGACTGAAACCTTTGCATTCACAGAATTTATTGAAAATTCTTAGTTTTTCAGCTTTTTCCAAGTTTTGAAAGACACCCTTTTTGGTCCGTTCTTGTACTGAAAACGTGAAAAAACAGGTGACTTCCAGAAGGACTCCTGAAAATGGTCAAAATGGCCGAACATCTACTGAAAAAGACGTTGTTGTATATCTTATAGAACTGTACTCCATGTAAATGGTATTCAAAGTTTCAGAATCCCATATTTCTGACATGCTGGAAATCCGAATCACACAACGAACAATGCACCGATTCCATTGGGTTTCACAGGTATTCTTATCCAATTGCTATTGATTCTGAATTATCTCCATTTTCCAGATGCTCTTCTTTTTTGGATTTGTAATATTCTGTCTCTTCTACTTTTTGATATATCCCAATCTTCACATCGTGAGCGTCGATCCAGCATGCGACAAAAATCTAGCGGAGTGGTTCGCAGAGATCTACTAAATCGTTCTTCTCTTTCATAACTTCTTTTTCATGTCATTTTCTTCTTGTTTCAACGGGTTAAAAAATTGAAAAAAAAACCCATTTAAAGATAAAATATTCATCTCTTTCTCGTTTCTACTTTACATTGTTATCTAAAATTTGTTGAAAGAAAATGAAATCGAATGAATGAGGGATAAAAACAATCGGGGTGGAAGACAAAGTCACTCGGTGGAACAGAGATTGTTCGGGAGGCAAAACAAAATGAAAAATGTTTGGAGCAATTTACAGCAAAAAAGAAAAAAAAAGAGTTTTATTGGGATTTGGGACTTGAGGGAGAGCGGAATGTCACCCGTAGGAGAATGTGAAAGTACTCATCTACTTATTGAAATTTTGAGGGAAGAGGGGATTTGAAATCAGTACATGAGAGGTCTAATGACGTCCATCCAGAGCATCAAGGTACTTGTAATCAATTAGACGGGGGATCAATGTGTGTCTGGAACAAAGAAATTGTTATTTTTGTAATTTAGGATTTTTTAGTTGATTTTTAGCATTTTCAAGAGTCTGGAACTCGCTAAGAAGGGGTGTTTTTTCAGAAATCAAAAAAAGATTTTTCAAAAAATTCTGCGACTGCAAATTTTTCAATCTAGATTTGTTTTACACCCTCCAAAGTTTTCGAACTGATGGAAACCTGAAAACCGAGCTTAAGTCTCCTGAAATAGGTTGAAAATCAACTGAAGAATACGTTATCGCATATCATATTGACTGGTACGATATATCAGTTTGGTATGTTTTTTTCTTCCAAAAAACTCACCGTATTGGAAGGAAGAAGAAGCACACAATTGGGAAGACCATCTCAATGAATGGGTAAGGTGAGAAACCGAAAGCACATAGAATGATGAGCTGGAGGAGTTGGCAGGCAGTGAATAAGTGCACTTTTCGTTGTGGAACTTTTCGAATGTAATGAGTGGGCGGGTAGGCTTGCTGAAATATTTGAATGATTATGTCCAAAATTTCAGCTGCTCTAATAACTCACTTGCTCTGTGATCAGAAGAAGTAACCGTTCAAACATCTCGTTTCCGGACAGCGAGGTCAGAGCCATATACAGGAAAAGACCATGAAGAACCGACGTTGGGATGAGTTGAAGGGGATACGGAATCAGGAAGAACATTGAGACAAGGATCATGACATGGGCGATGAGAGAAGCCAGACGAGTCTCACGGACATTCATGATTCTGAAACATTTGGATGCGTGAGAGATATCTGTTTTCAAATAAAGAGAAAGACACTTACACTTCATGAACATGTCCTTGAGAAACTCTTTCTTCAACATCTGCCAAAGCTCTGAGATGAAGTGGCGAGTGAGGAAGAGCTCCGTGCATCCATGGAAGACCAAAAACTGATAAGAACATATTTAGAAGAGCGACAACAAAGAGGTCCAGGTTATGTGATGTTCCCTTTTTCAGCTTATTTTGATTGTTGTTCACGATTGCTGATGTGATGTTTTGATCGATGAAGAACAGGAAGGATAAGGAGAATCCGAGAAGAAGGCACACAAAATATCCGGATGGTGGTAGAGAGAAGATATCAGCCATTTGGATCAGTGGGAATTCAAAACGGAGGTTGAATCGGTCTTCTAAAACACATTTAATCATTAGAACTTCTAGAATCATTGGAGAAAGAAACTCACTTTCAATATCGGAGAACGCATAAGATCCGGTGAACGACATGATCAGAACCGACGCTGGAAGTGCATAATCAGCCAACCACTCTCGTCTCGATCTAGTCAAATATGGTGTCTTTCGGAAGTTATACAAGAATAATCCTAGCCAAAGAGTTCCGAACATCAGAAGCATATAGAGAATGGACGTGTCTCTTCTACAGAGACTTCCCGTATCTCCGATGCTCATACTGCTCGTGATATTGCCAACGATGCTATCTGTATTCGTTGTCCCGTTTTGAAATGCGTCCAGTGCTGTTCGAGCCGCTTTCATAGATATCGCAGACGTGTCACAATCGTTGTAGTTCTTTTTGAAACCTAGAAGAACATATTCAATTTTTGGGATCATCTCAAAGAACACCCACTGTTGTGTATTGCCCGTATTGATTCGACCGTAAATGCAATTGCAATGAAGAGTGAAAACATTTCCTCGGCAGACCTTGTTGCAAATTTCATCAAACTGCACAACTCAGTCGCCGAGTAGAGTATCAAGAACAATTGACAAAACAGACCGACGCACGCATACATTGCCAGAAAGTCATATCCGAGTTCTTGAGATATTTTGTATATCACTGAAAAAGGCATTTTTGAATTAAAATCAGAATAAAAATGTTTGCGGGTTCAGATACCTTTTATATAAATCGCTAAAGGCACTGTTGTAAGCAATATAATCATAGGTTGACCGCCGAATAGAGAAAAGAAAATACCGCCGATCGCTTGAGCAATAATCACTTTCCGTACATCTGAAAATATCTTCTATCAAAATAGGTTCCCTATTAAATTGTGCTCACTAATAGCTCCTTTTGTATTATCATCATTGAGCACACCGAATGCAATTGCTGGAAGAAGACACGCAAAATACAAGAATACCACCGTTGAGAAGAGTTTTTGAACAGTTTTATGACCCCGGATTCCATCGAGATAATCGGATGGATAGATTGCAAGACGTCGTTTGAATTCGTCTTTTAGGCCTCGGAATGGATACCACGCTTCTGGACCAAACTGAAAACAAAACATAGTTTGAATAGATATTTCAATAGGAACATACAATTTGCTCCTTGGCATGACTCAAATGAATAGAAGATTTCCTTTCCCTCCATTGATTTTGATCCATTGCCAGTTCTTTAGCGGCTGATAATAGAGTAGAACGGAATTGTTCGACACTTTGAGCCATCACTAATCTCTGTCGGATTTCCATATCAGCGAAGAGAGTGGCGAATGTTCGGGTGGTTTCCAGCGCAGTTTTTGTTCCTTTCTGAAAAATTTCAAATTTCGGAACTGCAGTCTATTTTGTTTCCTCAAAAACCAACCGCTCTACTAGGTGCAATCACGATGATAATGAATCGAAGATCTTGCATTGTCCTTCCCAAATTCGTTGGATGCGAAAGACGAGCGATTGCCACGTGGCGATGCTGAACTGTATTCAGCATGCATCTGAAAATTTGAGCTTTGGTTTTTTTTCTCTTTTTCCACCCTCGTTTTGCTCAGAAATTTTATGAATTGCTTCGAGAATTTTTTTTTGCTGCTCGCTCCTACTGTGCCCTTATTGTTAATGCAAAATCAAATAAGGAGCTTTTGAAAAAAAAACGGAAAGAATTTACGGATGAGAAGCGAAAAAAACCTTCAGAAATTTTCGGATAAACTCTAAACGACTTTGGTCTTTTTTTTTGGTTCGGAAAAAGTATAGGAAAAGAACATAAAGAGACGGTATTAATTTAATGCAAATTACTTTAGCTATGGAAGCCGGAAGTTAAGAATAGTGTAGAAAAATCGGGAAAAATGGGAATCGACTTACAGAGCACAAATCCACGTTTGATCGTAATCGAAACTTCCTCCGACAGATCCAGTTGTACAGATCGATTGTACTGTTCGGGAGAGGATGTGAACTGGAAAATAATAGAGATTGATGTTAACGTTATGAATTCAGCAAATTTTTGGCACAGAAGGGCACAGGATTCGCGTCCAGATGTCATTGTGGTCCGTTTCAGCTGATTTCGACCACTTTCAGAATTCTAGAGCTCAGCTGTCAAGTTTCAGATCACTTTGAAAACCTTGGAGTGTGTAAAACAGAACTAGATGGAAAACTTTGAATTCACAAATTTTTTCGAAAATTCCTAGTTTTTCAGATATTCGCCGGTTTCTGAAGGGCATCTTCTTTTTTCCTTATTTTCAGTACAAAAACAAGAAAAAGGTGTCCTTCAGAAATCGGTAAGTAGCTGAAAAACTAGGAATTTTGGAAAAATTCTGAAAACTTAAAGTTTCCAACATAGGTCTGTTTTATAATCTACAATAATTTTAAAGTGATCGGAAATTGGGCAGCCGAGCTTCGGACCCCTGAAAATGGCCAAAATCAACTGAAAATATGTTTTTGTAGATCTTGACCGGTACTGTACCTCCTCGGCCACAATGAGCGGTGGTAAAAAAAATGCTGAGAGGGAGCATGACTCATTAAAGAACGTTTTGCAAAATTATTCTATCATGGATTCTCTTTTATGCTTTTCACAAGCTCAGTTCTGCAGAATCATTCCATAAATAATTTAGTCTTGAAACTTTTTCTTCTTCTTCCCAGCCTACTTTTCTATTTTCTCTCTGTCCCATTCAATCAGTTTCTTTTACTCACATTGATTTCCAGCGTCCTGTGTGAAGAGAACACTTCTGACTTGTTCGCTCGTAAACTCGGGTTCTTGGATATCCATCTCATGAATTATTCTGAAACAACACAGACATCTCAAACCATAATGTTCGTTCTTTTTTTGGTTGTTTTGGTCTCCCCCCAGTGAAATTGTAATCTTTTTTTCGACTCAACCACACAACGACACGATCATCATCATCATCATTTCTGACTCTGTCCCTTTTTTCTCCAGAAAAGCACTTCCTTCCTTTCAAAACAACAACAAGGGAGAAGAAGACGAAGATGGAAGCTGAGAACACATGCAAAATAATTTACAATTTTTTTTGGGACCCCTCTAGCTTATAATAACAATTTCCACATTGTTCAAAATCAGAAATTGAAATTCCAGGCTTCCCTCCCTCGACATATGAAGCCGCCGGTGCTTATCCTTCTTCTCCTCCACTCGATCATTTTCCATTCATCATTAATTATTCATCAAAAAACCAACACAAACTTTGTCTCACTAGAAGAAAAGAAGAAGAAGAAAAAGAAGAAGAAGAGAAGCAGCATATCCAACAACTTCATTTTCATCTCCTTCTCTTCTTCTACTCGTTTTGCCCATCAAACATAGACTTATGCTTATGAGATGGTGATGATGACAAAAAAATGCGTGTCGTTTTTCCCCCCGCGGAGCTTTTTCGGATGGATCGGGTTGAAGACGGAGAAGGATCGACAAAAAATATAAAAACTCACTTGGCAAAAATCTCCTCGAGGCTTGTCTCCTGAAGATCGAGAAGGAGTACCGCCTGCAAAAACACGAATTGCTTTCACTAAAAATAGAATTATGAGGTTCGTATTATTTAATACGAATCTTCAAACATTTCCTATGGGTCATAGAAATTATTCAGATTTTCCGGATCGAAAATCCGGGGAGTACAACGTTCATTTGGGAGTACAAAATTAGTGATTTGGGGGTACAAAATGCATGGATAAATAATAGTTTTCGTACCGCTGCGTTGAAATTGTTTTGCTCATAAAAGTTTCGACACATTTAAAGACAAAATTTGAAACCAGCGGTACAGAAAATACAACGCACTTGGAAACAGAATTCGGAGGGTACAACTATTCGGTGGGTACAAACAGAAACAAAGTGATTCAGATGTACAAAATCCACAATTTGGGGGTGCAAAATCCGAAATTTTCAGGTTTTTTGTATCCCGAATTTTTCAGAATTTTTGTACCCCGAATCGAGAATTTTGTGGCCTTAGATTGCTTTCCTCCTTAATGAACCCAACATTTTTGTACGCTCCGAATTATTTGCCAAATTTTGTACCCCCGCATTTTTCGTCGATTTTCCGCTGTCCTGTTTTTCAAAGCCACGTGGTTTTTCAACATCTCCTCCCTCCTCTCCATAAGTTTCTCTTTTCCCAAAGATAAAAATTCTTCAAACTAGCCGGGCTTAACATAACTTTTGTTCTTTCAAAAACCCATTCGTTTTGAGTTGTCTTTTGTCAAAAAGAGAAACCAAAAATAGTGGTGTGTCCTTTTGGGAAAACTAATGAGTCCAAGAAACACATTTCCGGTTCCTTTTTCTGCCTACCTTATTCAACAAATGGTCAATGTCCATTGTTGCTCGAATCTCGGAGCCAAAGTCCTTCATCGGAATCTTCTCGTGTTTCGCATACATCAAGGTCACATTATCATATTCATCTGTAAAAAAGAATATACAAAAATACACAGTTTTTTCTGGGTTTTCTGAATGTCTCTTTTCTAGTATATACTCCGTTTTCCCCTCCACAGAAGTCTCATCTGGTCTCTTCAATCAACCGAAATTGGTCTTCTTCAAAACCGCCCGCTTCCTTTTTCTTCATCGTCGCCCCGAAGGGTCGTCGCCGGACCCCAAACTTTTTTATGTAGGAAGAAGAGGACCGCCGGTTGGTGGGGGAGAAGGTCCACTAGTTGTCCCTTTTTTTCCGTCTATGTTACCCAATAAAATACTAGAAGATTTTTTTACGTCTAAGCGCAATAAAACAAGTCTACGAAGCGTAGAGCGGGGGAAACATCTCAAAAGAAACACTAGCGAGAAACACAAAAAAACGACAAAAAAGAAATAGTAACACATACTTCCCGCATTACTCCAACTGAGAGTATCCAATGGAGGTGTATCACTATCAAAGTCCCGATCTTCTGCTAGAAACGGTTGAGATCCATACTGAGAAAGAGTTCGGCTTGGAGAACCACCACGTGGCGATCCACATGCACTTGATCTTCGAGTCTTCGCTTCTTCTTGTTGTAACGATTTCATGGATAGCCAGGAAACACGTTTTGTGAGCATCTTTGCTTTGTCAGGTGGCAGTGGAATAGTTGTAGATGGGCCAGTCATATTGACTAAATTTACAGTGCCAGCTCCATTTCCTCCAGAATTCGTTCCACTGCTCATCACTTTTTTGGCTTCAAACTGTAGTGTAGGTTGACTTGCCCGACGTTCGAATGTCTTCAGAGGTCGAAATCCGATGGCAGGTGCTCCAGTTTGTACCGACTTTCTTCTTGTTCCCACTGGACTGAGATGAAGCGAAAATGATGGAGCAGGTGGAACCTTGTCGTCTTCTTCACCAGATGTTTGTACAGTACCCGAAGGACAAGAAGCCACCGAATTACCAGATACGTTTGATATTCGACGTTGTTCAGGTACATAGAGAAGAGTATGGGATGTTCTTCGAGCCATCACCCTTTGCCTGGGATCAGGCTTTTTGATATAAATACCTCCCTGACTTCCGATTGAGTCTTCTCCATTCTTTGGAAGCAAGGGATATTCTTCTGATATTCCAGAACTGCAGCTGGCAAAATCAAGAGGTGTTCGGTACGAGTCGACATCTGATCCTTTTCGGACACTGCCATTCGACACAAACACTTTTACATTGGTCACATTCATCAGAGAATGAAGTGATGATAGGAAACAGTAATGAAGTAATAATATGAGAGAAATTGAGAAGTAGTGTGGTCCTAATGTCGAAGGGAGCCGTCCACGATGGACTGGCCTAGGGGGCACTGCTTCTCAGTCCGGGGCGGAGCTAGGGAGCTTCACGAGCAGCAGCACAAACCACTTTTAGATTCTTCTCTCAGCGCTCTCTCTTTTTTTTGCCTGCCTTTTTTACTTCATGCCCATTCCATTCACTACTCAGTTGAGTCGTTGACGACAAGAAAGAAAAGAAGAAGGAAAACGGGAAGAAACGGGGAGGAACCTCCGCTGCATATTATGGGATTGATGAATCGGATTTCGAGACTGCCTTCTTCTTCTCCTTCTCCTTCTTTCTCATTCCCATCCCGTCATTCAGAAGTCGTCAACGGCGCCGTCGTCCGATTTTTTTTTCCACGGCGGCTCCTGATGATGGGTCTTAAGATTTCGGGAAGTATAACGGAAGTACAGAATAGGATCATCGAAAATTTCAGATTTCAGACTTTGGCAAACGGAAAAATGAACACGAAAAAATAGATGAATCATTTTGACAGTAGTTGTTTTTCTGGAGAATTTGCATGACGAAAAGAAGTGAAGTCATCGGGTTAAAAGTGGCTCAATTCTGGAAGCCGTTAATGTTTGGTCGGGTTCAGATTCTCCATTCCTATGCTTCTACTACTTTTTCCACAATAATAGATCCACTTTCAGATGATTCATGTACATTTTCAGAGATAATGCAGGCATCTTGCAAGCCGCTTTTTTTCTTTTCAAGTTAACAGAAGTCCCAGGGTTCCAAAATACCTGAGCAGAAATTGCGTCCCAGATAACTTTTAGGCCAGAAGAAATTTAATAATTTCAGAGTGAACGTGTTTTTCGCTCATCGTTTGATACTCAGCCAACGAAGTTGTGCAGTGAAACCAACGAGGTTCGTTGGGCGCGATTTCTGACCAGAGTTTTTCGACGGTCATGAGAAGTGATTATTATCTAAAGTAGTCGAAGTATCTCCTACTTTTTTTCAATCTATTTCAATCCAGAACTCAATAGATTCCCATTAAAAACTGAGAAGATGGATATTCGTTTTCTTCGAATGTGCTGCTCCTCTGCTGCTTATGAATAATCTTCAGATGTTTTGTGAAAAAAAGAGAAGTGGATGTCATCTCAAGAGTTCAAAGAGCCGCATCCCCCGCGGGGCACAATCTGTCCGACACGATCCAATTCGATTACCGGAAGAAACCCGACACAGCAACAAAGAACGAGACGAAGGAGGAGTATCTTCTGGTAATTCTGTTCTTCTTCTTCTCCTTTTTCTGTTCCATCGGAAGCGTCGAGCATCAGTTTCCATAAGTTGAAATGAACGCAAATTCTGTTTCCACACACTTCTCGTCTCCTGTCATCAAAGAATTGTGCTTGTTCGCCAACAAGACGTCTTCAGAATTTTTCGCTCCGAAATTCAATTTGCAATGACACGAGGAGCTCTTCCTTTCTTTTTTTAACTTCTTCTTCTTTTTTTCTTTCTGTTTCCTCTTTTTTTCATGTTAGAAAAAACAGACAGAGAGTATCACTCCCTCTCATATCTCATGAAAGTGTCATGAGCACAAGAAGAGCCGATCCCTGCTACCGGAGAAGAGCACAAGAATCCCAGCATGTTTTCAAAAAAAACGTATGGTTGTATGAACACCATGAAAAAGATAATTGAAGAAAAGGAAAGATGAGGAAGAAGGAAAAAAGGAGGAAGAAGGCAGGTTGAGCGGACCACCAAAGAATTATTGATGTAGACGGAAAATAATGCATTTTTGGAATATTTTTTTTCAGTTTTGGAAAGCACGACGGAAAGTTTAGAACTCTAAAAAAACTTGAATAGGGATGCAAGATTTTTCCCGATCAGCAAAAGTAGGCTTATATGTACGTGCATTTGGCACATCTGTGCAGTTGGCTAGACACTGAGTTTCCTTTAAAAGCCCATAGAAACCGTTAACTTTGATCTTGATTATGTCGATTTCTGTGAAAAATATCAAAAATTTGTCAATTGATAAATTGTTTATCATAATCTCATCAATATTTTATCAGTTGACAAATTTTCGATATCTTTTACGGAGGTTGAGATAATTCAGCTCAAAGTGGACGGATTGGTTAACCCTCTGTCAAAGAGAATACGGTAGTCATAATTGTGTAAGCCAAAAATTTTCAAGGAAAAAATTACGAAAATGTACATTTGTTAGGGAAAACCGTCCCAAAGAATCACTGTTTTCCGATAGTAATGACATACTTCAGATAGTAATATTTTTAAAATGTATCCAAGATATTCAATTAGCTTCTCATAGTTTACAGTTCCACAGATGCACCCTCACACTTACCATCATCATCTTCAAATTCATGAACTGAATCATCGTCGATCATATAGACATGGCTAGCCCTTCTCTCCTCATTATGATGACTTTCCAAGGAATGAATAGTAGCTGATGTACACGATTGATGCATCTCACTAGTTGACTTTGGCCTTCTGAAGTGACATCTTCTGGGTGTGTTGGCTCCAGATGCCACCGTAGCTTCCGAGTTGGCAGATCCACTGGCATCCGAATCATGTCGTCTTCTACTACGATGAACTCCTCCGTTGTTTGAATTGTTATTATTACTAGCACCGTTGGTCAGAACAATCCCACCAGGTGTACGTGTTCCAACCGGTTTCACTGTGAACACTCTCGATCTACTTGGAACTTCTCTTTCGAGACTTGATTCACTTGCAGTTTCGGTTGCAAACGATGTTTCTGATGCATACTTCCGTAGCTTCCGATCGATTATCGACTTGGCACAGTTTGAGACGGGCGGTGCACGAAATGTAAGTGGTGCTGATGGTGGATCAGAACCGCCGAACGGATCGGCAATACTATCCGAATCCGGAGTTGTCATAACTGATAGACTCTATTGTCTCGTCATAGTGGTCAATAGATATGCTTCTGAAGGTACAGTAATCAGAAGATTTCGGAGAAAAAAAGCAAGAAAGAAGAAGAGAAGAGGATGAGGTAAATCGGGATAGAGGAATGCAATCTAAATGCTATTTTTGCATGGATTGTTTTTTTTCTCAATTAAAAAGGATTTGGTCCATCTTGTCGAACTGAAAATCGGACGGAAAATCAAAGACTAATAGAAAAATAGAGTCATCCAATTTCATTTACATAATCTGTGTGGTGGGATACTGTAGCTCATTTCTTTTCCAATTTCTTTTTTCTTATGTTGCTCTTGTTTGAAAAAAAAGCCTAAAGAGCAAAGAGCTCGTGGGGGGGGGGTGGTGGTGAGAGGAGCAATTATAAATGTGAGGGTGGATGCAACAAAAAGAGCAATGGAAAGCAATATCTTCACCCTCCCGGGGTGGAAAAAAGGACAAATACACATCATATCTGGAAATGGGAAGAGGAAAAAACTGGGATTTCTAGGATAACTGTCAAGTAAAAGGTGATAGAAATCAGATCAAGTTACATCCGGGAAACTGAGAAAGACGATGGTGCAGTTGGAGGTTTAAAGCATAAAAAAGAAAAAGAGTGAAAAAGAAGAAAACAAGGTGAACTTGAGGTGGAAACGGCCGAGTCGAATGTTGTGATGGGTAACAAAAGAAGGTCGGAGATCGAACTGGATTGTTATTACGCGGAAAAATCAAACCTAGGAAGTTCAAAACGAATTCAGAAAACCACTTTCAAAAGTGTGTAGGAATTGATAATTGATAAAATACCATTTTGTTTCCCCCTCCTGCCGGGATCTCAACCTCCTGGCTTCTTCTTACTGTGTCTTACAATTGAATTTCAAATTTCAGAACTTTCGATTTTCTGATAAAATTTCTCCGATGATACCGAATTTCAAGATCTCGGACAGAACTTTCTAAGGTTTCTAAATTTTCGAAATTCAGAATTATCGAGTTTTCACAGCATTTGGTTCTAAATTACCTTGGAAATATAGCATAGGGGCAAAAATGACAAATCCTTTCATAAGAGATTCATAAGAGATCATAAGAGATTTAGCACCTCTGCCTTTTCGAGCCCAATAAGGGTTTACAAGAATGTTCTCGGAAACTTGGAAGTTCAAAACATTAGAAAATTGGGAACTCGGGGACACAGAGGCTTAAAAGTTTCGGTATTCAGAAAACCAATTCAGAAAATTCAGAAACTCTAAACCTATCTCATTTATTAAAATAGTTTCTAATCTCAGTGTTCTGTTCACTTCTGAAAATCTGGATTCCTAGAATAAAAATATTGGAAAAACTTCAGCAGAGAAGAAACTTCCGATTGGCTCACATCCGACAGACTTTCTGAGATATCTTGCTCTATTTTGCCTTTTTTCACATGTTTCCATTGCCGCCATGGCTTATCTTGGTTTTTCGTTGAAAAAAGTGCACCCCCATCGGAGTCGGCTCGTCAATCTCAGTTCGTTTTCTATTTTCCCGGAAACTGGGTATTTTTTAATTCGTTCTTTTCGATATCTTATTCCTTCCAAAATAAGAAAAAAAGGATGAAAAAAAAGAAGAAAGAAGAACGAACAGGGGACATTCGGATGGGATCGAGTGGTGGGGGTGGCGAGGGTGGCAAACAGCAGAATACGGGCAGAAAAAAAACAGATGGTTCTTCTTCTCTTTTTTTATCCTTATTTTTGCTTTTCTGTTCAGAGGAAAGAATAAGAACAATAGCAAAAAAAAAACTAAGGAATATCCATGACTGAAACAAACTTGTAGCAAAAAGAAAAGCATGTTTTCTTTCGAAAAAATATTCTGGGTTGGTGGTTTTTCCTCAGTGGCAAAAGGGATCTTGTGAGTACAAAACTGACTTGTTTTCAGGTTTTTTTTGTTGGAAAAGTAATTTGGAACAAGATGAAGCAAACGGTAGTGGAGAATACTAATAGCAGAACTCGATAACTATTATAAGGTTCTGGATATTTCGAAAATTCAAGACCGGGAGTGAGAAAGTTACCATGAAACCTGTGAAAGAAGGGCCCCAATCTTTGAGCCAATTTTTCTCGGTTCCTTTCAAAAATATTAAAAAGTTGTCAACTGATAAATTGTTAATAATAATAATATTGATATTATCAAAGTATGTTGCCTGTTGATGAATGTTTAATATCTTGCATAGGAATTAAGATAATTGAGCTCAAACTTAAAAATGTCCGGGATCTTCTGTTACAGGTTTTGCAGTAATTATTATGTTCAAAATAGTGTGAGTTGTATTGGAAACAATCCTATAAGTTTTCAAAAACTTTCATTGAACAGAGGAATTTGATAATCTTTCAAACTAATAAACTTTTATATTTTTCAATGTCAATAAGAGATGTTGACTAGAATCATCCCCTAATTCACTTGGTGATCAAAATCTAATTGAGTGTTCTTAAGCGCCTATCATTTACGGAATTCTAACAGATTGTGTTGTTACTGTAAAAGGTACCAAAAACGATATTTGAAGTCTCAAACCATCTTTAGGACTGATCCAATCAGTTTCTGGGGTTGAATGACCTAGTTTAAATGAAGATGGAGATTTCAGCCTCGGGATGAGATGGAAAAGCAGGCGTAAAATAGAAGAAGATGCTTCGCGAAAAACGGGGCGGCAGAATAGAGAAACAGAATAAAGAGCATACATATGAGAAACGGGAAGAAAATGGCGGTGTATATGTGTTGGAGGATTCAGTCCCAGGCGCCTGAATATTTACATTTGCTGCCCCGGAGTGAATGAAACTGAAACAGTGATGAGGGAGGGATTGGAAAAATATGGGAACGGAGAAAAAATGAAACAGTGAGAAGAAGAAAAGTTTGGAAATGGAAACGCTGTGAGATGCTCTCCGAGCAAGATGAGGTGCGTGGGAGAAAACGGATTGTTGAATACACACACTAGTCGATCGAAGGAGAGGTAGAAGAAGAAGAAGTAGAAGAAGAAGACGTTGTTGCAAATAATTGGATGTATGTGTGAAGCCGGCTCAAGAAAACCGGTGTGGGAAGATGTCGACTCATCAGTTGAGACTCAGTCAGAAAGCATCACATTTACATCCCCCTCCACTACTTGAACTTCTTCTCCTTCTCCTCAGTTTTCTTCTCCAACGTCGTCTGCTTTTTTTCAGATGCCTTCTTGTCAAATGAGACTGATTGACGGGTTACGAGGCGCCACGGAGGCGGATACGAATGCTCATTTCTTAAAGGTAAACGAATCTTTGAGGGACTGATTTTCGAAATCCAAAGTCTTCTAGATCTCATTTCTTTTTCTAGATTTATAGCTTTTTGATAGACAGGAGTCAGAACTTCTTTGAATGAACTTTTAGATCATCCAGGGGGGGGGGTCCAAAAAAAATAGACCAAAGACCACAGGACAAATTAGCTCAAAAAAAGACAAACCAACACATATTTCTTGTTTGCAAAAAAAGAAGAAGAGGTCTAAAAACTTTTCTTTCCGAGGAAAAGTCGAAATGAAGTGGAAAACGGAGCTTCTTCCACAGAAATATGTGCTCATGGCGGAGGCGAAATTCATCAGAAGTGTCCGACGAAGTCCCTCAGGGAGAAGATGTCGAATATTGGAAAAGAAAAAAAAATAGAGTGAATTGGAATTCCGAGACATGTTCTTGTTTCTCATGTGACGGCGGACTCTCCGAGAAGACAAGGTACGGTAAAATTCAGGGATTCTGGGATATGTGAAGTTTGGCGGGATTTTTTTCAGAGCCTACTGGGATACTCGATTTATTTCAAATATAGTACCGTTCAACAGGTCACACAATTTTCAGTTGATTTTTGACCGTTGTGACCATTCTTCGGAGTCTGGGGCTCGGCTGTCAAGTTCCCGATCACTTTGAAAATTTGGGAAGTTACAAAACAGACCTAGATTGAAAACTTTGCCTTCACAATATTTTTGAAAATTGTTCAACTTTTGGCGATTTTTGAAAGACCCTATGATTTCAGCACCAAAACGGGTCAAAAAGGGTGTCTTTCAGAAATCGGCAAATATCTGAAAAGTTAAGAATTTTCAATAAATTCTGTGAATACAAAGTTTTCAATCTAGGTATGTATCACATTCTACAAAATTTTCAAAGTGATCGGAAACTTGGCAGCTCCAGACTTCTGAAAATGGTTCAAATGGTCGGCACAAAGTTGACAGTCCGAGTGCACCTTTATTAGAGGTTTCAAGGTTCTTAGGGAATAATGTGAGCATGCTTGGAAGCTAAACCAGATAGTCATCGCTATTTTCTTCTAAGCATCACATTAAATTATTTACAAAAAACCGAAAACCGTGAGCCAAAATCCAAAGCTTCCAGATCAATATCAAAAAGCAGGTCATGGATACGAAAACTGAATCACACAGAAACAAGTGCGAACACATGTCGTTTAGAGAAGTATCTCCCTTGCTGCTCAATTTTCTTCGACAAACACTAACATTTTCTAATTATCGCCGCTCGTCTTTCTTTTCTTCTTTTTTTGCCCCCAGATGTGTTGAGCCATCCGAAATCTGAGAGCAATTCTTAATGTTTCAATCATGACAAGCACAGATATTGAAATCATCAATCGTTTGAAAACTAATTGCTTGTCACAAAAGAGTGCTATCAGTTGAAAGGAGAAGATTGAAGTCATGGAAAAATGAATGAAAGTGGTTAGATGGAAACTTGAAGAAGCCGATTTAATATTTCGAAACCTAACCTTTCTTTTCCGTTTTCAAAAAGACTTTTTGTGGTTGTCTAGAAAAGAGAGAAAAAAAGTCAGATGGACATGACAAAAAATAACACAAGCGGGCCTTCGTCAGATTTAGTCTTCTCCGTAGGATCTGCACCAATTGAATTGGCAAGGAGGGCGACCAACGGGAGGAGACACGACGACACAATGACATTGTTGCTAACTTCGGACCCACAGATAGAGAAGAAATTACTCGTATGGCCAAAGTACATTGAAAAGAAGAAGAAGAAGAAGAAAACCGGAGAACTGATGGACCCGTGAATTGGAGGGAAGAAGAAGAACCAAATGATTGAAAAAAAAGAAGAAGAAATAGAAAATGAATAGGGAAACATGAACAGGTGTAGTGGGAATAAGAAGATGAATAGAAGAAAATGAAATGAGAGAAAGCTCAATGAGCCTTAAGATTAATAGAAACACGAACTGATTTGAGATGACAGAATCACAATCGGAAGAAAAACGGGAAGACGGCAATTTCCGAACAATATTCTTAAGTAGTTTACAATTTCCTTTGCGTGGGAAAATTATGATGGGTCGGAAGGGCTCAGGAAATCCCACGGGGTTACGGTAGAATTGAATGTTTGAGATGAACATCGTATGAGATTCGGGACCAACATTTCTGATGAGTGACAATGAACATTTCTGATGAGTGACGATGAGATTGTTGTAATGAAAATCTTAGCTCCTTGAAAGTTGAAAGCCGTAAACACTCTAATAGAAGGCCACTTAAAGTGCAAACTTTGAGCAACATATATCTCGGTTCCGGTGAAAGATATCCAAAAGTATCAACTGACGAAATGTTTATCATAATATCAAAAATATTTTGTTAGTTGACCACTTTTCGATATTTTTGACAGAAACCGAGATATACTCGCTCAAAATTGAAAGTTAGGGGTGGCGTTCTATTAGAGCTTTAATGAAAGGTTAATTTTCAGAAAACATTTGATTTTCAAAAAATTAGGACTCCTACATCATTCATAGGATGGACGTGAAGTTATGAATAGCTTCCAGTAAAATTTAATTTGAAAAAAAAATGGCACGAATTATCTATCTAATGGTTCCAGACCTCAAAAAAATGATCAGAACACAAATCTTTCAACAGAAAAGTTCAACATTTTTTCTCATCCCGAAGAAGGAGATGATGAATGAAACAAAACGTGAAAGTGTCGGGGGATTCCCGGAGAGCACTGGCGAAATTCCTCGGCTCATCACGGTGTCATATTTCCGAAGGCATGAATGAATACGTGCAAAATCATAGAAAACCATAGTTAAAAGTTCGCAACATCAAACAATTCCTGGAATTTTCCTACAACTACAATTCTACAATTAAAAACCGATGAGGGGATTCTCTTGCCGCCGCGGCGGTGAGGACTGGTGAGGATAGCTCCAAGTGAGCCGTAATAAAATAAAATGACGTGTGAAAACGAGAGAAATGAAACGAAAGAAGAAGAAGAAGAAGAAATGCTCGAAAACTTTCACCCCGTACAAAATGAAACCGCTCTCGGGATAACTCATCATCACATGTCGATTGGAAACAAAGCGAGAAGGCCCACCCCAACAGTTGTGCACTTTTGAAACCAATTATATTCAAACTCATTCAGTTTTATGTGATACTTTATTGTTACTTGGTGCCAGGATGATGGATTCGAAACTCAATGTCGGCTCATTTTGAAACTAATGGACTCATTCAAAATCGTATTTGGGGCGTTTCATTGGCTCACTTTCACAAAAAATCTTTGAATATGATAACAAGAATTTCAAAAGTTTTTTGATTTATTTATATGTGTTCTGATCTCTGATGAATATTAATAATCGAAACATCGAACCCAACTTTGAACTTTGGGCCAATTTATCTCGGTACCTGTCAAAGATAGAAAAAAGTTGTCAACTAATCAATTGTTCATCATAATATTCCAAAAATTTCATCAGTTTACAGATTTTTGATATCTTGCATAAGAAACAGTGTTGCGGACCTTCTATTTTACGTTTTACGGTATATTTTCGATGTAAAACAACCGATTTGGTGAACGCACACAGGGCCAGAAAAATCAAAATGGAGTTTCAGATCCACACCACGAGCCACCTAGAAAAAATTGTTAAGTTACACAAAACCTGGAAAAACCTAAAAAACATGACTACACTGGTCCGTTGGTTGGTGTGTGCCAATTTGATATTTATTTTTTGCCGCTACTGCTGCTTTCGAATTTTACTGCCTTTTTTCCTTCTTCTTTTTTTATGCCATCTTCTGTTCCACACAAGACCCTTACAGAATATATAATACCGACTATAAAAAAGGGCGCGAAAATTAATTTTATCCTTCTTCCATTTTTTTTTTCTTCTTTTTTTTTCGTTTTTTCTCCATTCGAGACGAGCAAAAAATAGAGGGTATCTTTTCTCATTTTTTCCACATCAAACGAATAAAAAAAAAGAAAGAAAATAGGAAGACTGGAAATGAATATTAACATAAATAGGGGAATAAACTTAGATGATTGAATTTTGAATTCAGGAGAACAGGAAGTACATCATAGAACGTTCAGTACGATATACCGTAAATTCTCTTTTACACACTATACGTGCGCTTTGAGCTCAATTATCTTGGCTCCTGTGAGAGATATTGAAAATTTGTCAACTGATAAAATATTGGTGGTGTTATGATTAATATTTTATTATTTTGTATCTTTCTATGGAACCGAGATAATTAAGCTCAAAGTGAAGGCGCATAAAGGATTTCTTTAGAGCAAATACGGTAAGCTCAATTTTTGTTGTTGGAGTTCCAAACTATTTTCAGAATTTCATTGCAATCAGAAAAGCGCTTCAAAAATTAATCGGGAGTTCTGGGTAAGTTATCTTTGAAAATAATTTGGCCCATTTCAGAGCTACAGCGTGCAAAGATGTGTCTTCAGAATCCAGAAGAAAGTGAAAAAAGTCTGAAAATAATCGTCTTCTAGTAGCCGTGTTGTCAACGACGTCGCCGAAAAAATTTGCATTTGTTCGCTTCAGCATCTTCTTCTTCTTCTTCTTTCCTTCCTGTGCCTTTTTCTTTCGTTTTCCTTTTGCCGCTTCTTACGGGCGGTGCTTTGCGTACAATGGCAAAAACGGCGAAAATAGTGAAGAGCACGATGGAAGGAAAGGATTTAGAATAAGTAGAAGATGAAGAAGAAGGCAAAAAAAAGAAGAAGAAGAAAAAGAAAAATGAGTGAAGGCTGGAAAAAAGAAAATACCAGAATACCAAAAGAGTCAAAAAGTTTCGAAAGGTAGAAAGTTTGGCCGAACCTGTGGCCGAGTCCAGAAGTCAATCAATTATTTAACAACTTGGTTTTAATTCGAAAGTGACAAAAAAGTGCTTTGTCCTCGACACAAAAAATGGCTCGGTCATGCAGAATGAATTTTGCAAAAAGGGGTAGGTCAGGTGGGTCGAAGGTTCTGAAAAAATAAGTGAATCGAGAACTCTGGAATCCGTTTGAGAGAAGAGAGAGAAGAGAGAGAGAGAGAGAGAGAGAGAGAGAGAGGATCAGAAGATCTGAAGATCAAGATAGATCAGCGAAACAACCTTTAATAGCGGAAATTGAACACTAGAGGCTGGCTCAGAAAATCTTAAAGTCCGCCAAGAAAAAGGAAATTGGAAGAAACCTGGGACTCCGAACTGAGCGGCACTATCAAAGATGTCATAAATTAGGCCAAAGGTTCGTCGAGAAGCTAAACTGCCCTGCAAAGAAAGATTTGAATCTTTTAGAAGAAAAAAGCCAATTTATCTGAATTCTCCACATTTTCCACATCACTCTGGTCAGATGATTCTAACCGATAGATGCAAATTCTAGCGAGGTTTTTGAATTTTACAAAAAATGCACCAAAATCAAATTGGGTGGGGCAAGGGGACCAAAAAGAAACCAAATTTTTTTTTTGAGAAAAATTGAAAAACGAAGAAGAACAAGAAGAAGAAGATGAAGAAAAAACTGGGTGGGAAGGGTCACACACTGAATATTGAATTACCCGGTGTCGACTGAAGACAATCGAATCGAGGATGAGAGAAATGAACTGTGTGCATGACTTCCAAAAGAACAAAAATCTCGAAACTTTAGTCTGTTGTCTCTGAGAGAATATAAGAAGGGAAACGTGAAGTTTTCTGGTTGCCTCGGGCCATCTTCCAGGCGCACAAACAGACAAAATTCTTGAGCGATCCGCCCGTCCCGAGAAATCTCCTCCGAAAGAAAACTGGACAGACAAGAAGAGCAAAAGCAGAGCAGTGAGGTTTTTTCCAGGTTATTAGTGTATATATGGTGTGTGAAGAGATGTGGTGAGTGGGTCCGCCTATGTATGTGCGAGTGGGTGCTCCTCGGGTAGATGTCGGAGAAGGATGGGTCTTCTGAAGCCAGCAGCAGCACAAGTTCATCAAGAATGAAAGAAAATGAAAAATGAGAAAAAATGGGCAAGGGAGGAATAAAATAAGAAAAAGAAGAAATAAGACACATCCCACAGACAGGAAGTAGGTTAAATTGAAGGGCTCGATATGGGATGGAAAGGTTATTCCTAAAGAAAGATACAGAGAAAAGTGGGAATCTCCAGGATTACGGTACTTTTTCAGTTCCTCGAACTCTCTGGTATTTTTTAAGTTTTTCTCGGACAGACCAGCAACGTCCTCAGAGATGATCAGATTTCGGAATTCCTAAAATTCCGACCATTTTCTGAAATATTCTGATCGGAATATTTCCGGTTTTTTTCTCGGAATTGGAGCTTTATGGACTACGGTATTACAAAGACGCAGGAAAAAATCTCTGTGTGGGTCTCGAGTGTAATAACCGTAAACACTAATAAAAGGGCATTCGAACCGCCAACTTCGAGTCAATTTTTCTCAGTTGCTGTCAAAGATAGGAAGACATTGTAAACGGATAAAATGTTCGTCATAATATCAAAACCATTTTATCAGTTTGCTAGTTTTTGATATCTTTTTCAGGAATCGAGATGTATGGGCTCAAAGGTAATGGTTCGGGTGGCCTTCTATTAGAGTGTTTACGGTAAATTAATTTTTTTTTCAAATCTTTTTGTCAATTTTTCACCTTTTTTTAAAATTTTTCTGATGGGAAAATGGGATTTCTATGTTAAAAATTGAATGTTAAAAATTCTGAAAGTCCGATATTACAAAATTTGGAATTTTGGCATTCCGAGTTTAAAAAAATTGGAATATTCTGGATTTCCGATATTTTGAAATCGGAATACTAGGAAAAATAGAAATTTTAAAATTCGGAATTTTCGAGATTCCAAATTCCGAAAAGGCCATTCCGATTATTCCTAGAGTTTTTAATTCGGAAACCTATAATGAGATTTCTTAAAGGAAATTCATAATCTTCAGAAGAATATAATAAAAACTGAACACCGAACCTTCAGAAGAAAACGACGTCTTCTGTAAGTGACACATCCCAATACCAGAATTTTCTATATACTTCCTATTCTCTCTTTCATTCCCTCTTGATTTCGGAAAACCTAGAATTCAAATATTTTCAGTGATTCTGGAAAAGTGTTTGTGTATGTTTTAAAAAAGTTAATTGGTTCGTTCTATTCAGCCGTGCTCGATAGAAACACACAAAAGAGAAACGTGTCAGATTTACGAGGATAAAAGGCGGGATCCGTTGAACATCGGGAAGCAGTAAAATGAAGGCAATAAAGAGGAGGGCTCACATTAGAATATAATTAGCATAATTAAATGAATGATTGGTCAGATGAAAAGAGAAATAGAGACGAAAAAGAAGAAGAAGAAACCCACAAGATTAGACTTTGTTTACATGTGTATTGGAATAGATAAAATGTGCTTAAAAATGATTTATTGTGTGTGCACTTTGATGGGTATTTATTGGTATTATACTATTGCAGAAATACCACAATTACCTTCACAAAAATCGAAAATAGAAACAAATGAAAAAGTAATAAAAATAGATGATGTCACTTCCTGGATGAATAATCACAACCACTAATTCACCCAAATTCATTCATGCAAAGTGTTTCTTTTTGAGATGTTTAGTTTTTGAAAGCTTTTCTAAAGAAAAACACGAAAGGAACTCACCTATGCCATCATCATCGTCTGTCATATATCGAGTATCGTCGATACAAGATTCTGGTTCCGAACCCATTGATGCCACCGATGGAGATGATCGACCAGAAAGTCCAACGGGAACACGTAGAAAACTGTGTTGGAGGGATCCGTGCGAGTCGCCATCTTCATCTGAAAATCATAAATTGGGTTTTGAGAGTAATTTACCGTTATTGCGTCGTTATTGGTCTCACTTTTCATTTATTTTGCAAGAGAAAACCATATCTACCGTAAACAACAAATGGGATTTGGATTTTCTAGATCACGTCCCAGTTTTTCTAGGCCATGAACTAACTTTTTGGGTTTTTTAGGCCATGCCCTAATTTTCTGAACTTTCTAGGTCGTGACCTAATTATAAGGATTTTCTAGGTCATTTCCTAATTTTTAAATTTTCTAGTTCATAATTTTAATTTGATCCAATTTATCTTGGTTCCTGTGAAATATAGCAGAAAATGATGAGCTAAAAAGTTATTTTGAACATTATAATAGACATTTTGTTAGTTGATCACTTTCTGATATTTTTTGAGGGAAATGAAATACATAGAGGCTCAAGTTGACGGTTTAGGGACATTATATTAGAGTGTTTACGGTAGGTGTTTTTAGTTTTAGGATCCGAACTTCCCCTTCTTTTCACTGTCCGTTCACTCTAATTCAATTATTTCTTCAACCTATTTTTCACGCCTAGAACTTATTTTTCCCGAATTGAATTTCTCAAAAATCTGAAAATGGATCCAATTTCAAAACACCGTTTTCTTCGTCTTCGTTTTCTTCGACTTTCTACGCCCCGTTATTCGTTTTTCTCACACCCCTATCAGATTTCCGCAAAGGGATCTTTTCTCTCTTTTCTTCAGGTATATCAGGTCAAAACATGACACATCTTGGCTCTAGCCGTCCCTGTGTCCCATTTTTTCATCCGTCCATCAGTACAGGATGTATGACAAGCTAATATTTTCATCCGACGACTCTTTCTAGACACAGAATTTCTCCATCGTGTCTGCTTCATTCCGTTTATCTATTTCTCAGTGGATTTTTGCCTCTCGTTCTCTTTATCTCTCTACCTGCCACCAGCTGCTTTTGTTGGTCCCAGTGAGGAGGAGCATGGAAAGATGGAAACGAAAAAAAGAAAAGATTCTGATGAAACGAAGAATAATGGAAGATTGGAGAGATGAAGAGAAAGAGAAGCAGATACATAACAAGTGTTTTGACACTACAAGCAAAGAGTATTGATTGATTGGAATTTGATTGGCAGGTCCAAATGGAAAATTACGTGATCGGAAAACCAATGAATATTCGATCAACATGATTGGAATGAAAAGAGTAGAATGAAGAAATACGATAAATTGAAAGGATAAATAATGAAGACCTATGTACATCCTTTTCTCTACGGCTGGAATGAAGCATTTAGGAACTTTTTTACAGATAAAGATATTTTATAATAGTTATAAAAATCTAATGAAATTAACAAATCTTGTACAAGTTATCTGATAAACGACTTGTGATATTTAAAATAATGAAAAAACAAACCTAACAGAAATTACAGCCGCATACCGTATTCCTCTAATAGAAGCCACACAGACGATCAACTTTGAACTCAATTATCTCGATTCCTGTAAAAGATATCAAAACTTTGCCAACTGATAAAATAATGGGGACATTATGATAAACATTTTATCAGTTGACAAGTTATTGATATCTTTTACAGAAATTGAGATAATTGGGCTTAAAGTCAATGGTTTAGGATGGCTTCTATTACAGGAAGCATGGTAAATGGAATTTGAAAAAAAATTGTAATCGGAGAAAAAAAAAATCGTAAACCGCAAAGCATTTTTTCATTGGAAAACAACATTAATTACCCATTTTTTTACAAATTCACATACTTCGGAAATTACCGAATATCCTCTAATTTCGAAAGATTTTCGAAAAATCACTAAGTATTTAAAAATTCAAAAAAAAAGAGACCTACAGTACCAATATTCAAAACTTTCAACTAGGACTTTTATCACTTTTCTAAAAGCCTCTAAAACTGTCTTCCGTTTCGAAAAAAAAGTCAAACCATTATTATTCCTAGGTCGAAGCCTCCTCCTTCCACCACGTCTTCCAGGTCGCATCTCCGGTAACGTCTCCGTCCTTCGAAGCCCATTTGAATCTTTTCCATCTTCTTTCATACTCTGCCATCTTACAACTGGACGACGTACTCGTTCTTCGTACAGATCATCCAGTGGCTCCGGAGAGCTCTCCGTCATTTCTAAACTGTCAGATAAAAAAGGATTCGGATAATTTGGAAGTTGATAAGATATTCAAGAGTATGAGAAAGAGAATGAAAATCAAAAAAATTTTAAAATGGTTTCGTCATCATAGTTGACGACAAGAAATTCTCCTGCGGCTGGCCGTAGGGATAGGGAGGTACACGGGTATCTGTCTCGATTCCTCTGTCTCTGAGCTCTCTCCGTATACATTCTTCTACTACTAGGAAACAAAAAAAGAGATGAAGAGATGAGACCACCGCTCTTGAGGATGAAAAAAAGAGGAAGAATAAGAAGAAGACTTTTTTACAAGTGGAGGTTCGGAGAAGAAAAGCTGAAATTGTACTGATTTACGAGATACAAGGTGGTTGGAACAGGTGGATATCGTAGAGTTTTTTTTTTCTTTCGAATCGAAGTTTTATTGAGTCATCATGGCATAACGGGTTGTATGAATGGGACCGAGTTCAAAGATGAAAGTTTTATGAATTCCAGAGTTCGTTTTTATTGATCATGTGGTCGATAATTGCTGGATGAAAATCAGGTTGAACTAAACATTCTTTAATTCAGATTAGATGAGGACCGAAGACAGGGAATTGATGGGATTCGTTAGATGATTGAAACGGTTATCCGGTAATTTTCAAAAATGAAGAAAACACATATTGGTCACATTCTACAGAGTGGTACACAGTTACTCGGACTGATAAAAACGGGTTTATCTTTAGACATTAGAAAATTGGAAGCACGAAAATTGGTAGAAATACAATTTTAATATTGATTCCAAGCTATCAAAATTTTCAAAGCGATTCCTTAATTCTAGGTATTGTTATGATTGTCTAAAGATGAATTTTTCGGAAAGCCATTATGATTTTCATGATATGGAGCAACTTTGACAAGCGATAACACAGTTCAAAGTGCATTTAATAATTTGAAACTTGGCCAGTTTACTTATGGATGAATTGAGTTTTCGTACTCCACATTTGAGCCCAGTATAAAGCTTTTATTCTAGTACAGACTTCAGTCCGGGTAATTATGCGCCACCCTGTAAATCTCTAGCACCCAAGAAAGAGAATCCAATATATGTAGTGAGCCACTTTGCCAAAACTAGAACGTGACATTCAAAAAATGATTCTTCTTATTCTTTCTGGTCCTCTTTCGTTTTTTGCCGAAAAGGAACGGAACTGGAAAGTGATAAATTCAATCATGTGGATTTTCTAGAGGGAAGAAAAGTCTGTTTGTTGGGAAAAAAGAAAAAAAGTTGGCTCAGAAAAGAAAATGTCAGTAGTTTTGTGGATTTGGAATAGAGAGAGAGAGTGGAAGAAGTGGAAGAAAAAAAGAACACTTCAGGACGTTATGGATATGAATGGAGGACACATTTTTGAAAAAAAAAGGAATGGGGAAATGGGATGACGACGGCTGATTTACAAACTTTTTGAGCTATAGACATGATCTATGGAGGAAGTTTATATTGAAATGCTGGAAATATGACGCCACGAAAAATGTAAAAATGATGAATACGTTCAGAAGATTCCGAAAGTTTTTAGTTTTCAGCATCCAGAGTTAGTCGATCTAAGACGCTCTGATTTTGATATCTATTATCGGCGCAAAGATAGTTGAACGAAAGGTGCACCCGAATTTTTCGAATTTGGCGCTATTTTTCAGATAACGCACTGGAAGGAAAACAAGGCGTTCTAGCCTAAACCCAAAATTTTAAACCAAAAACAAAATATGTTGAAAAAAAGTCCAGTCAAGCGAAATTTTCAAAATTTTAACTGAATTTTTTTTCCAAAAATTTTTGTTTTTTTTTGTTCAAATTATAGGCTCGTCAGGCTGAAAAGCCATGTTTTGCTTCAACTGGAACACCATCATTTTGGCGCCAAATTCCAAAATGTTGAGTTCCTCACCAACTTTTTGAATAGTTGATGGGAAGAGCCAAAGAAAATTGACCTAATATAAAACCTGTATTAGAAGGGCCGGCTACCGTAAACCTGTATTAGATCCTACCGTAAAACCTGTATTAGAAAAATTAGCGAATTCTAGTAACTAGTAAGTAAGCACGTTTTCGAACAAAAAAGAGTATTTCAACAAATTTTTAAGGAATTATAAAAATGAAGGAATATTTTTCACTGAAGATGTGGGGAAATTTTTAATTCGAAACAACACATTTTGAGGGGGCCCTTCAATTTTTCCAAGCCCCTCTAGGAGGGACCTTCTAGTAGAAGGGCATTTTAATCAAGGGGGCCCTTCTAATACAAATTTTACGGCAAGCTAAAACTTCGAGTAATGAGCATTGGATGTTTTTATTCAAAAATTTTGACAACTGTCGAGTGGGCGTGAGAAAAGCCCAATACCGTCGAGAAATATTTGGGATAAGGCTAAGTAGAGTGAAGAAGTTCAGACAACATGTTGGCTTGAGACCCGAAGACGTTATCCCGTGGGACGGTGGTGCCTGAGGGGCATCAATTGTCGGGGCTCCCCTCCATAGTTGAGAATGACGACGAATCCGGGTTAGAGGCCCTCTAGAAGAGACAGACGAAAGACCCGAGAGAAGAAGAAGAAACATGAAGAAGAAGTGGAAGACAGAAGGAAAGGTACACGTAATGTCAATGGAATAAAGGATTGGGACAAGGGGACAAAATGACATATTGGTTGTTTCTCTGAAGGAGAGCTATATGGGAAAAATGAGAGAAAGAGTCATTATTTATAACCAACGGACTCCGGTCCGTTATGTTTTTTCTACATTTTTATATATTGAATCGGAAGAATAGGACACGGCACCAAGAATGCAGGTTGTACTGGATAAGTTCGTTCATCTCAAATGGAATTGAGATGAGCCAAAATCTTAGGAATCCACCAGCGGCTAGGCACGTCTCCCCCTGGTATCGTGTTTCTTTTCTCGTTTTTTTTTCTTCTTTCTGCTTTTCTTTTTGTTTCAATTGGACCAGGGTGATCGAAAAACTAGAACTCACTTGGAGAATGGAGATTGAAGTGGGCGTGTGAAGGAATCGGAGAGTTCGAACGAGTTATCTCAATGGGTGGCACCGTGCCGTTGTAGGTCTGCAATGAGATATTTTCGGTGGATAGGAATACTGTATTTCTACTCATAGTCCGTCTGCCTGACTTCAATAACTCGGTCCCTGACACCGATACCCAAAAGTTCTGAACTAATAAAATTGTATGAAGTTTTTCTTGATTATTTTCAGATTATTACCAATTCTCAAAATTCATACAAAGTCAGTTTTCTAGTTTTTGACACTTTTCCAGTGTTTCATTTTCGTTTTGCTTTGAATGACGCAAATGGATTACCGTATTAGAAGGGTAAATCAATTAACTTGGCCCCTATGACAGATATCATAAATTCGTCAACTGATAAAATGTTTGTAGTATCATTATAATTAATTTACCAGTTAACAACGTTTTAATATCTTTTACAGTAAATGAGATATATGAGTTCAAAGTTGGCGGTTTGGGTGGCCTTCTGCATGTTAGAGTGCATGTAAGTGCACTTTGAGCTCAACTATATCGGTTCTTTTGAAAGCTATCAAAAATTTGTCAACTAATTAAATGTTTCTCGTAAAGTGACAAACATTTTATTTGTTAGCAACTTTTCTATATCTTTGACAGAAACCGGGAGAAATTAGCTCAAAGTGTACATGCAGTAGGATGCACTTCTATTACATCATTTACGGTATTTTGACTAGATGACTAAAAAAGTTTTGCTTCAATTTTTAAACATCACAAATTATTTTTCAACTCACCATTACATGATTCGTGTCTCCGCATACGCTGTCCCAATCGGAATTAAGCGACGCGGTCTCTTCCATAAACGAAGGAAGAAGTGGAGATGATGGTGGCTGGAAGAGAGGAATGTTCTGAAAATTGGGGGACGAATGATGACTGGAAATATTGTGTATGTATGTGTATGGATCAGAAGCAGAACGTGACACTGATTGTGTTATTGGAAACTGACTGGAAAAAAGTGAGGATGCAATTTTGTGGTTTCGAGGGAAGAAAAAGAAAATACATAAACAAGTTTTGAAGAAGAAGCCAACAGAGAATGTATAGAGCAGGAAAAAGAGAAGGTTTCAGAAAAAATGTTATATCGGAGAATTTGAAATGTTCCAAAAAACAATGTTCCGAAAGTTCCTGGATACTTTGGGTAGAACTTATTGAAGCTTTGAAACAAAAATTTTCCCAGAGTTTAGAGGGAGAAAGCAAACTTTTATTGCATTAAAATAGTCGACCATGGCCAAAAAAAAGCAAAAAAAAGCTGTTGAAAGTGAAAATTTGGCATTGAAAAGTTGCGAAGAGGGACGAGGATTTGAATTCCCGCGCAATGAGAAACCTAGGCCACCGCGGCTAGACGCATTTTTTAATGGCCGACGGTTGTTCTAATGGCCGACACGTTCCGGAGATAAAAACTGAAAAAACCCAGAAACTCTGTCATGTAAAAAAAGGTGTCGCTCTGCCGTGGCCTAGGTTTTCCATTGCGCTGGAATTCATACCCTCGTCCCTCTTCGCAACTTTTAAAAGCAAATGTTTCAATTTCAACCGCGTTTTTCGATGATCTCAGTTATTTCGAACTTTCCCTAAATAATATCAAAAAATCCATAACTTTTCGAACAGATTTAAAATTTTTGGTTAGAGTCCTCCTTTAAAAACTCAATTTCAGTTAAAAGATTCAGCCAAAAATCTATGCAAGATCAAGATTCAGGTGAGGAAAAGAACTGATGAGAAGTCGAGATAAATGCAATTAGCTCCCCGTTTTTATATGACAATTGTTTTCTTTTTTTCACACCCTCGCCCAAGAGCCTCAGCCACAAAAACGACTTGATCCAGAGATGAAAATCAATTAAAAAACAGACATGTGTCAGATGATGGGCAGTCACTGGAACCAAAATATAAAAAAACAAAAAAAAGAGAACGAGAAGACAGAGCAGAAGAGTCTACTATAAGTGTAGATCAATTTTTCAGACGATGACGTGGCTATAAATCATTTCTGG